TTTTTTAGCAAATGACTAATTAATAATATAAATTAGTATAGTGACAATATTTTAATAAATGTTTACAAGTATAAATAAAATGTTATATGAAGAGATTTATGTCATATTTTTATAATTTGCATCTTCATACTATTTTTTATTTATTTATTATTTGGTAATTTAACGGGCATATTATTTAGTCAGTACTTACCAATGTAAAATGTGTTTTTTAAACACAATATTAAAACTTAAAAATAAAATAATAATCTGCAAACAAATTTTCATGAAAACATATTTTAATTCTGAATTTTATCAGCTTTAATGCATCTGTAAGTATATTAAAATGTAATTATTTAATCCCAGTAAGAAGTCAAAAGCTAAGTAATAATATGTGGTTTGTGTTTTTTTATGGTATATAAAACGTTACATACATTAAACATTTAAAAATAAATAAGTTCTTAATCATGAATCAAATTAAAAAAAATACTGAAGATTGAGATTATTTTATAAAATTAACATTTGATACAGATATTAAAATTAATACAATTTATGGCGAGAATAGGATAACTTTTATATAGTGATGGGTGCTCTAATTAAATGTTTACACCTATACATTAGTCATTACAATCAACATAGTTAAACAAATATAAATTTTCTGATACATATTTGTGTTCAATATCTAACAAACGTGACAAGTGTGACAGTGTGTCAGAGCTATATGAAAATAAAATATTTCAATATACAAATGTTCCGGATATTTTTTTATTTTTTTGAGGGTGGGGGGAAGTTTCCGGACTTTAAGACCATCCCGTACAACAAATATACCTTTACCTCTCTTTATCCTCAGCCAATTCTCTTGAGTTGTCACCTCGGATAACATTCCTCTTCACAAAATCTTCTCATCTCAGGTGATGTCTGTCCAGTGTCGTGTTCCTACCGAATCATCTTCAATTGCTGTTTTTACCATTGAATTATATTTCTTCCAGGCATGTTCAGCCTACCTTAACCTATTTTCTATAAATTCACTTGATAGATATGATCTTTATAATATGTTTTGGAACTTTTCACTATTTCGTATTCTCCATTCCTCGGTTTATGGATCAAGATATGGTCTATATTTTCGTCATTATACTTTTTTTTCAAAAACATCTAGTTTAACTTCTTCCGTTTTTCTCTGTTCCTACGTGCTTGAATTATATATCCGATAGTGAGACGAATTAATGTTATATAAATTTGAATTTTTAGATTTTTAGAGATTGATCTGAATTTTAGAAGTTTTCTGACGCGATGACTGAAGTGATGACCTCCATTGCTTCCCCCGGGTTTGTATCTCGCTCCGGTTAGTGTTCCTGAGCGAAACCACCTGGCACCGGTGTTGACACCTGCACCGACTCCCGGTCTTCCGGGTCGGTGGACGACCCAGCTGAGGGAGTCGCCTTCGTCAGCCGGTACTGCTGACTCGGGCCTTCCCTCTCGGCTTTTGCCCGCCGTCTCCTCTGCCACTGGTGTTCCCTCCTCTACTCCTTGGCCCGTTCTGCCGACCGCGTTGATGTTGTCGGTGATGGTGTGGCTGGCTTCGCAGGCTTTGGCCAGGGCTTCAGTGATCCTGGCTTGTCGGAGGGAGGTGCAAGTGGTAGTGTCGGCAGGTAGTCTACGTATGCCACGCGGCCGGCATCCCCATCCACTCCAACGTCGGTGGATGTGGGTCTGCCGGTGGCATCCTCGGAACTAACAGACATCCCGGAGCCGGCCTCACCCAAGTCACGTCCCGTTGAGGCCATGCGGAGCTGGTGGCTTGCCGTGGTGGGGTCGTGTTGGTGGTGGCGCCGCGTATTGCCGGTGTGGTACGGACTGCCGGTGCGGTACGGGTGACCTGTGTGGAACGGCCGGCCGGTGCTGCGCCTGTTGCTGGTTTTGCGCGCTTCGACCCCATCGCCTTGGTAGTTGAGACCCGGTGATGGGTCGATGGGCGCGGTGGTTTCGTCGTTGGCGAGGTGCCCGGTAACCTCGCCGCCGAGGAGCCAAGCGACCTCACCAAGTTGGTGGTCCGGTCCGCCCACCCCCGGTAGTAAGCTGCCCAAAGTATCGGTTCAGCCCGCAGTTGGGCGACCCCCACCTTCCGGACGTCGTCCACTATGAGACAGCCCATCGATCCCTGGGCCATGACCGCCTCCCTGATCTTCTCCAACATCTCCACCGCTTTGGTCACGTCCATAGTCGAAGGTGGCTGGTGGTTGGAGGTGATACTGAAAAACGCGCAATCGTATGTATAATTTATTGTGTGCGCGTTTTAGGCCGGACACGTGGATTTTTTTCGGCGGTAGCTGATCGTTTAGAAAACTCCTTTACTAAACCCGCTTTTCCAGCCTTATGAAGCCCCACCATTTCGGTGCGAATCCCGCATGAAATCCCTTGTGCGCCTTGGACAAGTGGTGGGCCTTATACAGTACCATATCTCCCTCCGAGAATTAGCATTTCTCGGCCACTATGTCCCGGTTGTGTCTGCCTGTGATTTCTACCTCCCGCTTAAGTCTATCCCTCTTTATTGGTTCGACCTGCGTATGTGAGTCAGATTGTAGGGTCCAATCCCCGAGTCTTGCACTCGCGTCCGAGTATTAATACCGATGGTGGATATCCTATCTGTACATTGCGCCGGTTTCGAATAGCGAATAAGATAGGGGCTAACTTTGTATCCCAGGTGGTGTGTTTGCCGTTGGTGAGTGCCGCGCGTAGTCTTTTCTTCAAGTCCTGATTGCGGCGCTCGACCGGGTTGGCTCTCGGGCGATAGGTTGGGGTGGTCCAACCTTCCACCCCCCATCGTTCAATCGCGCTATGCATGTCGTTTGACATGAACTAGGGGCCGTTGTCACTGAGACACACGTGGGGGTAGCCGAAACGTGAGAAAAATTCTCGTTCGAGCGTTTCGATAATATTTTTAGTAGTAGCTGTTCCGAGCGGGTATGCCTCGGTCCATCTACTGAAGCAGTTAGTGGCTACCAAGATATAGGATTTTCCTTTACTCATGCGAGGATAGGGTCCCATTAAATCTATACTGATAACCTCCCAGGGGTGTCGGGGTTTCCTGGAGTTGGTGGCGTCATTCGACCGTGAGTTGAGTGGTTTAGTACATGCACATATGTGACATGACTTGACATACAGCCTCACGTCGTTTTTTAGCCCCTTCCAATAGAAATGGTCCCTAACTACCCGGTAAGTTTCCTTCCACCCTGGGTGACTAGCCGTGATGTGGTCGTTATACCTCCAGATCACCTGTTGGGTTTGGGTTTTGGGTATCACGATTGATAAGTGGCCCTTGACGTTTTGCCGCAGGAGGCCATCCGGTAGGACAAAAATGGCCGTATCTTTCGTTGCGCTTCTGGTATTACGTGCAGGGGTGTCCGACTTAATTGTTTTGATGATGTCTCGCGTCTGGAGGTCATTGGATTGCCAAGACGCGAAGGTTGTGGTGAAAAACTAGACAACGGTAAGTACGTCGCGACCGTTTCGGTTGTAGCAAAGATATTATCAGCTGGGGGGTTAGTAGTGTTGATGAGTGGTGATGTGGGTACCCCTATTAATCTCTTCTCAATGATATCATGCTCAGTAAGCTTGGTTCTGCCGACCCGGTCGCTGCAAACAGCCGCGTATTCGTTCAATACAGCGGTGGAATTTGCGCGAGTTTTCGGGTTTCCGGAGATTTCCAAAGCTGATAAATTGGGGGTTGTATTGTGGGGTGCGGTGCAACCTTTCCAACATGTGGTGGTCCTCTTTCTAGCACCCAGATGAATAGTGCATGCGGCGTAATCCCAAGAGACTTTGTGCTCTACGAAGAAGTCATGTCCTAGTATACGTCACAATACAGTTCATCCATTATGGTCGCTTCGAAAGGGATGGTGAGGTCCCCGATTTTGGCTTCGAAGGCGACAGTACCACTTGTGGAGGTGATGTGTCCATCCGCCATTCTAACCAGTGTGGGTAGTCCGTTTATTGGGTGATCCGAATTAACAGCCTATGATTGGGCTTACATACGATTTTTGGACCTGTGAGTCTAGAAGTGCTGTTATGAAGCCTGAGCTAAATTCGAGTTACACTGCTGGAGTCGGGATTTTGTCGGTGCATGTTCGTTTAGCGTTCCTAAACGTGGGGGACTCATACAAGTGGGGAAAGTAGTTCTGAACCGCGACGGTGGGTCTTTGGTGAATGGGTCGAACCGCCATTACCAGGACATCCTTGTCGATTACCTCTGGGCTCGGAGACCGCACCACTGGAGCAGGTGAATTTTCCGAAAAGGGGGAACACGTGTGATTTGCCCTTCCCTTGTTGTTTTTATGCCAACCGTTCCTTTCCCTATTACCTTTGTCCCTAAACCTAAGACTTCCCCTGAAGCCGGATGTATACACCTTTGGGGTGGTACGTGTGAATGGGGTGGTGTAGGTTTGGGATTTGAGGGACGCAGCCGACTTGTTGCTGTTGAGCGTACGTTGGAATATCGGAAATTGTGGTGAGGGCCGTGGTGCTTTGGGTAACCACGGACGAATTGACGGAGGATATTTCCGAAGACGACTGTTCGGTAATCGTTGGTCCAGTAGTCGACTTAACCGACTTACGGTACGATTTGTCTGGGAGGTGTCTGTTGGTAATATACCCGTCCGTAATGCCAAATGGTGGTGTATGTGTGCCTTATAAATTCTAATGGGTGATGTGGAGTTGTGTGGAGGTGGTAGGGGGACTACTCCTTTCCACCTCCCCCGCCGTTTCCCAGAGACGACGGTTTATGTGGGCACTCGCTGTGCCAGTGTGACCCCCCGCAGTATCTACACGGTCTCGGTGGAGGTTTACTTTCCGTGGTGGTGCGGGTGGGTGGTTTGTTTAGGGGCCGGGTCACCTGTTGGGGACCCTTCTTCCCTTGTGCGTGGTGTGCTCGATCCGGTGTGCGAGCGGGTGAGTTCGTTGCGGGAGCCAGGATTGCGGCTATTCGACGTAGCTCGGCAAATGTCACTGGCCGCTGCAACCGAACGTGGGTCCGGTATTCGTCACGCATTAGGCCCGCAATTATACCTACTAACTGTGATTCAGATAGACCGGTATTAACGCGGCGTGGTAATTGGTTTTTCGCGAGGACGAATTCGGACGGGGTTTGGCTTTCGGGCTGTCGCGCAGAAACTATTTCTGCCCGTAACTGTGCCTGAATTTCGGCGTTGTCGAAATTTCTAAAAATTCGGACCGAAAGCCAGGACAGGTCCAGGATTTTGATGGAGGTCCACCATTTTCCGGCTGTCCCTTTTAGTTGCGGTTCGACTGCCATTGTCCAACCCGCTGGTGATATTCTAGCCTGTCCTAGAATCGATTCAGTATTCTCCAAAAACCGTACGGGGTCCTCCGCCTTCGTTCCGGAGAACTCGGGTAGGGATGCTCGCGCTGCACGCAAATCGTCATACGGAATGAGTACTGAACGTTCGGGGACATAGAATATCGGGACGGGTAGCCGGTCTGAATGGTACACGTCCGCGAAGTGGTAGATAGCGCTTCTCACATTCGTAACGCAATTCCTTCAACGTCAATTGATTCAACGCTTCTCCCGACATAGTGTGGTGTAGCGGAAAAAGCTGTTATTCGGAATGATCTCGAAGTGTTAATACGCGCGCGAGCGTATTGTGTACGTGTGAGTGTGTGTGTGTGTGTGTGTGTGTGTGTGTGTGTGTGTGTGTGTGTGAGTATGTGATTCTTTTTCCTATTAACCTACGTGGTGGTACTGTGGTAGTGTAGTACGCGTACGAGATTGACAAGAAAAAAATTATGATTTGTTTTGTTGATAAACAACACGCTATGACGTTGCACGGATATATCACGGCGCGGCGGCAGTGTTTACGTAAACGACTGTTCCAGCTGCGCGTGTTTATCTACGTCTGGGATTCCCAACCTTTTTTACTTAACGGCACACTTGATCATTTTAAAAATTTCCACAGCACACTTAAATAAATAATAATGAATATACATAATATCATAATTATATATAATGTATTATAATATAATTATATTAACATAATATATATAATATAAATTTAATTTGACATTTGAGACTGGTGTTTTATACATAATTCCTCTATTACAGGTGAAACAGTTGAAACGATACAAACTGTTAAAGGATAATCAATGTCATCCCATTCCACGTAAATCCAAAACATAAATAATTATCAACGTATTTACGTTTAATTTTTAAATTTAAACTTTTATCACTTATTAAAGCTGATTGTTTAATATTAATTTCAATATTTAAATTGTTGTCATGTGCTCTAACATCACTGTCATCAATATTAATTTATGCTTTTTTAAACATCTATCCATTTTTAAATTTAACTTATAATATTTCTTGATCAAAATACCCATACAGTATAATGCGTAACAATTACACGCACTCAATTTTCATTATAATGAGCACCGGCTATGCTTTCATGTAGTCGTTTTAGTATGTGGTAAAAGTCAACGCAACTGCAATCAGTTGCGTACAACCGTATCGGGTAGTATAGGAACCCATAATATGGGTTCCTATACTAAAACAGCTATAATATCATATTACGATAATATAGCTGTTTTATCAGGACATTTTATCATTTTTTATTTTCAGGGGAATTTTGAAGTCAATGCTATCATAGGTATAAATTATAATTTTGATCATTATATTTGGTTATGCTTAAAAAATTATAAAATTACAAAAATTACACGGGGCACACCTGAATAATTTCGCGGCACAGCGGTTGGGAATCCCTGATCTACGTCGTCAACGGCGGCGGCGGCTTTCGTGTCGCGGACCGGTTATTAGACTACGGCGGCGCGGCCATAGTGGCGTGTGTTTGATTGAAATACCGTTTGATATGCAGCGGATGGGACGCGGGTCGACCGGCGGCGGTGTCTCGGAGCTGATCAAATTGTAAAGGTGCGGCCCCACTGGAAGCGATTTTGAGTTTCTGCGTTTCGAGCGTTTCTGCGATTTTACACGTGCGATGTCCACTAGCGATTTTGATGGGGACACTTTAGCGATTTTACATGCGTTTCTACAATTTTACGTCACGCGCGTTCGTTTTATTTTTCATTAGTTTATTCGATCCTCAACCAAGATGACGTTCAGAAAAATGTTGCTGGCTGAATGTGCTGCTTTAATTGACATTAAAGTAAATTATCATCCATGTCGAGATCTTTTCCAACGTTGGACCAACATTTTTAGATCTTAGTCCTATTACTGTGGTCTGGGTGTCTAGGATTCCAAATAGCTTCCTGTGCGGAGACAGCGGCAGCTATTTGTTCGGACACGACCGACGCGGAAGACATTTAGACAGCGATTAATCGCCGAATATCAAACTATTTTGTTCTTTCAGCGATTACCGCGCGTGTAAAGCTACACGCGACACGCGCTCAGTGGGCCCACTATATATGAGTTACATAATTTTGTTAAAATCGCTAAAACGCAAAATCGCTACACGCTATCGCTAAAACGCAAATCGCTTCCAGTGGGGCCGCACCTTAATAATTGTAATCGCGTTGCCACAATACGCCGTGTGTGTTTCGGTCGATATCTCGCGTGTGCGTGCAATATCTTTCCGTTGCCCCCCGGGGACTCTGGTGTGTTCTATATTGCGTATAGCGGTAAGCTCAGCGCCCGGGGGGGTTTTCCCTAACCTTCCTTATACCTCGTGTAGCCGAATCACCTAATACTAATACTAAGTAAAACTTAACGAAAGCAAAGCGTGGTTGTAAAGCTAGCGGAAAAGTATCTTACCTGTCGCGTACTTGACCGGTGATTCCTTTTCGGGGAGCCGATTTGACGGGGCACACTGGTGACGGTGTTGTGTGCACGGTCGCAGGTGCGGAAAATACGGTTCAAGATTATATTATCAATAATAAAAATAAAAATCCCGGATTCGTGATCACACAGTATATATATATACATGAAAAAAAAATAATAATAATAATAATAATAATGAACACCAAAAGATATACACGATGTGTGGCAGTGATCACAATGACGAGAGAAAAAAAAAAGTAGAGCTGTGTATCGTTACACGGTCTTGGAAAAACAGCACGGTTCAGATGGTGGTACCTGTCGGACGTCGTAGCGACCGTTCGCGACCACTGACAGGTGATGGATGGGAGGACGGGGTGTCGCTGCGAAGTTGCGTGTCGCGGAATGGTGGTTGATGAGAGAGATAAGGGCACGGTCGGCGACGGCCGTGTCGATAACGGCTGCCGCACGGGTCCGCGTCAATACCATCTCCAAACAGCATTTGTTTTCCAATCATATTCTTCTAGCAATCTTTGCTTTAAACCCATTGTCGTGAGTTAAAATAACTAAAATTGTGGTATCCTGTAGAAGATTTGTCTAAATATAGATATTTTTTTTAATGTATTTTAAGGTACAAAATGTATAATTGATACAAGCTATAAAATCTTATACAAGTAATAAATTAAGATCGTAGTTTTTTTTAATAATATAATATAAACTTAAATTATATTTTATTTCATATTAACCATGCATGCAAAAACTAAAACTGTGTATCTATTCTAAGATTCACCCATGAAATGTGTTTAAACCTATATTGCACAATAATATATACATTTTTATGAAATACGATGCAAGATTCAAGAGGTTAAATTAATTATATTTATATTTAACTAGATCATCCATGTTAAGTTCACACATTGGAAATGATTTTAAGTTTGAGTTGGTTATACTATGATGAAAAGTTAACTATGATTAATTAATTATTATTATAAATAAATTGAAGTAAATTATCATATAATTATTCATGTTTTCCTTGTTTTATAATTCTAAATATTAGCTACAAAATTATATTTGAATATAATAAGTTATTAAATTATACAGTAAACATGTGTTATTTATATTTATATTTTTAGTTAACACCTCCAATATATTTTATTGGTTTGATGTGAAGCGTCAAGTAATCCAACTCTTGAATTCATCCTAAAACATTAATATAAAATTAAATATTACATTTTAAAATGTCAAAGCCTATAAATGCATTATTGTATTTGCTTGTTTAATTTACTTAATTCGCTTAGTTCACTAAATTTCACAATATTAAATCTAAAGACAAATATAAGTTTTAGCTAATATATATATGATGAATTTAGATAACTAGCTCATAAAAAATGTTTGTTAAACAAAACCTATAAAAAAATGAATATCAAATTGTTATATTGCTAACCTATGATGTACTGGTTCATTTATGACAAAATTAAAATAAATCAAATTAAAACAAAGAGTAATTTTTCAAAATAATACTTCAAGTAATTTTTGTTACTTTATGAAATATTGATACAAATTGAACATTTATTGAAATAAAAAAAATTTTTTATGATTCAGTTATATAAAGATCTCAAACTAATAACTGCGAACTATTTCTTAAATTAAAATTATTTTTACCAGCTCCATGTTATCTCATCCTAAAACTCTATCTTAAAGACAGATTTTCACAATACGATATAACAATTCGTATTTCCCTTACTATTAAATCTAAGCTGAAGCAGAACATATTTTAACATACAAAGTACGTGACACTAATGCCCCCCAGTGATAATCGAATGCTACCCAGTGGTGAGTGATCGTACCACTAACCAATAGAAGATGATTTTCCCTGTATATGATGCTCTGCAGAAGAGCACCACGTCCATAAACTACGATGGTATACAATTTCATTGAATTGCCACCTAGTGAAAAGTACTTAAAATATGTTTTGAACAGAAGTAACGCAAATAAGTGACCTATCATCTAATCAGTATTATGTATACATTGCATTAGATCTCTCCTAAACAAGCCAAACAACGCCAAGCGACACATGCTAATGACACCGCAATACCGTCATCGAATAAATATTCAAAAATAGCTACATATAATATACAATACCACCTTAATCAAATTTCAAACTGGACTAATAAATGGAAAATCAACATAAATGAAAACGAATCAGTTCGAATAAATTGTACCCTTAGAAAAAATGAAATATACCTTAATAACATACCTATACCAATTAATAATGTAATTAAAAACTTGGAAATTCATCTTGACAAAAGACTTCCATGGGCCCAATCCACCATAAACATAAGAAAACATTCTTTTAACCTTCACTCATATCTCTTTTTCTTACTGTTGTCCCCTTCAATGAGTTAATAAAGAACAAAGTTTTAATACACAAAATATTTATAACCTCCCTCAGGTCATGTGGTGATTAAATTTGGGGTCAAGCCAAACACTTCAATTCCTACAACAAAAATATAAACATTTCAATATATTTATCTCGGACAAATAATTGGAGCCCCATGGTATATGACATGATATATGGTATTTTATATGATATATAACTAAGCAACTAAGCAGTGCATAATTACCTACAAATACCAACATTAAACGAAACAGACATCAAACTATATAGAAAATGTCATTCCAATCTCCAGTCAAACCTAAATTCTCTAATCTCTCGTGTGTCATCAATCACTATTCCTAACAATCCAACGAGAGGACTTGAAAGATGGCCGAAAGGCACTCTAACCTAAAAAATTCGGCTTCCCTCCACTTATAACCCATCAAATTAATTAGGAAATATTGTTGCTAAAGGGTTTCCTTTCTCAAGCCAATCAAGTTATTGTATTATAACATTGATTATATCACATTTAATTAATTAGCTTTTTGTATAGATTATAAATGAAGCATTTGTTTTTTATACAAAAAAAATTCTTTAATTTCTAGAAACTAATCTACATGATTTTATGGCAAATTCAAACATTTTTGTAATCTCATAAATAAGTAGTTAAAGCAAAATCAAAAAAAGTTAAATATAGTAATGCATGTAATATTGTTTTTATTCTTTATTCATTATTGAATACCTATTTAAATATATATATTTAGAATGTAATTATTTATAATTAAATGTATAACATTTACCATTTGTACTATGACGCCATAATTGAAGATCTAGACTCAACTCTTCACAATCAATCATTTCGGAATTCCTTAAAAAAATGTATATACTTAATATTAATTTTATATTACCAAAATTACTATCTTTATTCGATACACAAAATAAGATTGGTGTAAAGTGTCAAAAATAGTAATTTATGTTTATTTTTTTATAATACCTGTATAAAAATATACCAACTAAAAATCTTTTATTTTTTTTATTAAAATAGTTATTTTTAATTTGTCTATGATCTATTTTATCGTCATTATAACAGTCATTTTAATTTAAAGCTGTTAAACTCATTCTTATATTTTATTAACATACATCATCTAAATAAATACATAATAACTTGGTATGATTTGAATTATAATTAAAATAAATATTTACTTACATTAAAAAAAAAAACATAAAATAACTGTCTCGTAAATGTGGAAACCTTAGTTGCAATTCGAAATACATTTATGATACAATATTGTAAGGTATCAGTTATCATTATATCATTGTTAAAAAAATTAAGTTTGATGATACACTGATTAAAATACCCCTCCCATATTCAATAACGATAAATAATTAATTAGATTTCTACTCGACGATTCGAATAAAAATATTTAAGCATAACTTTACAAATATACTAATACTCCAGGCTAAACTTTTATTTATTTATTTCTGTGTAAAAACTATTTATTTATTTTTTATTTATATATTAAAAATAGTTATAGGCACTTTGTCTGAAACTAATTATTTTATATAGAAACTTAACATTATTAGTTGACTTCTTCGTTGTGTACTAATTAAGACCATATACCTGAACGGAAAAAAATGCTTATTAAGTCCCGGGTATAAACAGGATATACACCGAGTCCGGGTTTAGGAAACTTATAACATACGAATTGTTTCTTAGATTTATTTTGAGCAAAATATAAAATCAACCATCCAGAGTCCAGACACAGCTGAAATTATGCCATATGACATTAAAATATTTTTTATTATCACACTTATACCTTATTAATGTGAACCTCATTTATATATTCATTGGCGAGGACCATCAATATCTGTGAATTCTTTCACTCGATACATTGTCTTATTCAGCCCATCCAAACATTACACCAATTTATAAACATTTTGTTAAATGTACAATACAAAACATATATAAAAATTAGAAGAATACATATTAATAATACAAGAAATTATTTATGCAATCAAACACAGCTAAATTTGAATATACGCAATGCCTATTCCATAAATGTTTATCAATAAAAAAAATGTTATTTTATCATTAAGTACCTATCTTTATTTAATTATACACAAATCATGTATACTATATTTTAACCCTAGATTATTAGATTATAAAATATTAAAAAAAAAAAAAAAATTTCAACCATATCTATAGAATTTTTTGTTATAGACAGTCCTAATTCTGTGAAAATGAGAAGGAAATTTTTTTTTTTTTAAATTTTTTACGGGACTCAGTATTAAAACATGGACTTAATTATTATTATATCTAAAATATCATGGGACTTAATTCGTCATAAAAAGTTATATTGAGACTCATTTTGTATGCAATCGGCTACTTTAATGTTATTTATAATAAGTATTTCAATTAGTCATATTTCCTGTCAAAATTATTCGCTATGAATTATTTTTTATTATATTATTATAATATCTTGTGAATTTGAAAAATCATCCTTATTATATTAGTTATATAATTAATAATATAGCACATGAGAAATCATCTTTGAAAATAATGTAAAATATAATTATAGCTAACATTTATAACTAAATTTAAGTAAAAAATATAATATACCCGTATGACATGAAAAAATTACTGGGTAATTGGTCAATCTTTGACATTGCACAAAATATTTGTGTGAGATTTAGATTCCACAAAACTTCAAATTGCTCTAATGTTATTACAAAATTGAACATACCGTTATTTAAATGAAAATTCCATAATAATCTATGTTATACCATCAGTAAAACTTCCAGGTTGATCTTGCACATCACAAAAGAAACGATCACCATATCGAATACGATAAAATCCATCAGCTAATATACACCTCGTAGTTTCACCAAACCATGCACCAGGGATTATTGGTTCTAGCAAGGATCCCACTATTAAATCTATGCTAGCAACATCTTCATAGTATAACTTCAATAATCCAATAGCCTTCATATAATCAATAGATAAACATTAATAAATAATATAATTGGGATGGAAAAAATATGCAATCAAATTATTAAAAGTAACTGATAATAAAATATGGCAATGATCTTAAACATAAGTGACTACATAGTAAATGGATCACTTTATTTAAAATAAAATATTTTTATTTATTTCTGATATATGATATAGTCGATTACAGTATAGAAATTTTGTAGGTGTACATTTTAATTAAAATAAAAATCAATGACATTTAATTTTAGATATAACTATTAGTATATTCCAGATGCATCTCATTTCTTAAGTAACATTTAGTAATCTTTAAAATATTTTCTTATTTTTCTTAGGGAAATTCAAAACGTATAAATGCTGACTTTAAATTGAAAATTGACTCCAAGATTATAAAATTATAACCTACTAAAGAGGTACGATTTAAAGCTTTAGGCCCTTAATTTATCTGACATCTGTATAATTCTCTTAACAATATTTTTAATTTTTCAAGTATTCTGAGATATCTTTAAGTGAAATGCAAATAGTATAAAACAGAAATATTTTATATATTAGACAGAGATATTCATCAATTTTTAGACTTACAGTAGGTGATAATATCTTTAACAAATCGTCAAATGATGTGATTACTGAAAAACCACAAAGTTCTCTAACTTTGATGTACGGTGGTATGCCTACATCACGACCTCTTTGAATATCTGTAGCAAGTAGGTCAGAGTCGGCGATATTTTTAATCATATTATGAAACATAAAATTTGATATCTGAAATATATTAATTAAATTATATCAGTTTTATACGAATAAAATTTATTTTTTAACTAAAAATGAACTATTTACCCCTAAGTTATATGATGCTACTGGATAACGACTAGAGTTTAGCGACATACCTCTTAGTATATACTCCAAATTCTTATTTTCGACTATAATATCGGGAAACATCATGAATTCGTGAAGTTTTAGTACATTTAAAACTTTATTATTTTCATCCACTAAACTGTTTTAGGTAAACAAACAATATATAATTTTAATTAAATACACCTAAATTTTTCCAGTGACGAGTGATTTCACCCAATGAATTATATTCTACAAGACTAAAGAAATTATAATCACGTCATAATAAATATTCTATAAAAGTATTCCACGAATAGTATTTTTCATTTTCAAGGTTGCAAATAAAAGCTAAATTTTAAAGTTAATCTACATAATTATTTATAAACTAAATCTATAATACATAAAAGTTATAATTATTATTGTTTAAATTTAATAATACATAATTGAAGTTATAATTATTTTTTCCAGACATTCCTACAAATAAATCTAAGGAATCGTCTTCATTTTTATACACATGTCTTTTAATTATATTAGTTATATTAACCTTTATGCTATTTTGTCAATTATTTTCGACATCTTGTCTCATTTTCTCAGCATTTGCAGTTATTATGACTTAGCCAATTACTTTATGATTTATAGAATAATTTTTTAAAAATAATTGAAGCTTGATTTAGGATTTAGTTAATTATATTTACTATGAAAAGTCACAATTTTAGCGTTATTTTTGATTTTAAGAATAGTTTTTATTTAAGAACTATTTATCTTGCTTCACTTTCGTGTTCAATGTTATTTCAAATTTTAAAAACTTTATTAGTTTTGATCATTATACGTCATTTACCGGAAATTTTAGATTTTTTGATATTCTTAGAAATATACATAATTCTATTTTCTTTCACAATATATAAACTGAAAGTTTCAAAACAATAATTTTAACTATAAACATGCATTAAAGTTCGAAATAAATGATCAGATTTATTTTTAAAGCATTTTTAATTGATTTGTGTGTTTGAAATAAAATAAAAATAAAAATATGATTCATACAATCATTAACTAATCGATATGATAATTTATATTATTTTAATAAAAAAACAAATAATTTTCTGGTACACCCATGCAGTTTTTATATTATTAAAGCATTTACAATATATATATATATCAGATATAGATAATATAGATGTATATTTCGATACCAGACATGTTTTTTTCCGAATTAAATAACGATAAATTTAAACTTACCTGTAGTATGTGTTTATGATGTTATGTGGTACTCGAAAACTTCCTGCTGATAACTCAGTAGATACTTGAGGCATAAGTGATTCATCATATACTGTTCTTTTAAATTTTGAAAGAGTCAAACCAGAATTTTCTGAATAATCCTCACCTAAACAAAAATATATATTTTTTTAATTTTATTCATTTAAGTGATAAATATAATATAATTCAGTAAATATTACTTTACGCTTTTGGTTTAATACTATCCACAATCCTTAAATGAGTTTCAAACTAAATTACAATATTAACAAACAACGCATCATTATACTTTTGTTACGATAGTAGTTCCTATTTTAAATTTGATTAAAATAAATAAAATACATGCGTACTACAATTCAATATAGTTAAAAAACTTAAAACAAAAATGTAAGTATCTTTTGGTTGTGATATATATCAAACTTAGACTAGAACAATCTACAGATTACATAATAAACGTTTACGAAGTAATATAAAATATAAAAAAAATATACAGAAATTCGGAAATCAGCGAATATAATTACATTTAAAAGTGATAATTTACGAAAAGATTTCCAATAAATCTCAGTTCATGATACGTAAATTTTACAGTTCAGATGTTTTAAAATACTTAGAGTGTTGACAAAAAAACACTAATGATCTCTAATATATATGAACGGAATAAAATGGAATAAAATGACCATTAATTATTTCAATAAAAACATTTTAAGTTTAAAATGTGCTCTTCACTAGTTTATAAAATTGTACGTTATTTCAACGCGACAATTTTGACGCACACTACATTTCGACGCGTGCAATTTTGACGTATCGTTATTTCGTTGAATATCAATTCGATGCTTCTTATGATACAATCATATCATTGGTTTTCAGATAGGACATTTTCACCTTGTCCACACTTATTTTATCAATTGTATACAACACATGCAATGTACTCGTGTGAAATAAAATTGATATACATGTTGTTTTCCAATAAAAAAGAAATAATTATGCATTATCATTATACAAATATTTATTAAGTAATTAAGTTTCTTGATTCCTATGTATTTCATATAAAATTTACAACCGACTTTGAAAAAGCAGCGATGAACGCTATTCCAAGTGAATTTAAAAACATAAAGATACATGATTGCTTTTTTCACTTTAGTTAGGAAATTTGGAGACAAATACAAAATCTTGGGTTATCAAATAAATATATTGAAGATATCGATTTGATTTACAAATACAAAAATTAGAAGCACTTGTTTTTGTGCAAATAAATGGATAAGGTAATTTATTCGTTTGAAACTACTAAAAAGTGAGCATTTCACTCCAAATGAGGACATTTTAAAACCCATCATTAATTATTTTGAAAGTACGTGGATCGGAAATTTTGATAGAGGCGTCGAGCTCCATTATTTCCAATCGAAGTCTAGAACGGTTTTAATTATATTCAAGATGATATTCCCAAGACCAACAACAATGTAGAAGGATGGCATAGTTTATTTTCGGTACTTATGAATTGTAAAAAACTGATCATTTGAAAATGTTTAGATGCTTTAAATAAAGATCTCAACTTAACTAAAATGTTAAAAGAACAATGACCACCCAGATATGTGGAACAAAAAAAAAACAAAAAAAAGTATTCCATTGATGAACTAACATTATACAATTACATAAAATACATAATTACATAACCCACAATATTGCAATTACATTTACAAATAAGTATTGCTCAAAATTTGAAATTGTATTAATAATAATAATTTTCCCCCTCAATATTAATTTTTACATTTTTACAAACAATTTTAAAATTTAATTATTTTATCAATTATGTCCTTAATATTTTTAATATCTCTATTTATTTGTTTTTATTGAATAAATATAATAAAACGTGTCGAATTTATATTCGTTGAAATATCATATGCGTCCAATTGTCTTGCGTCGAACTGACCACGGCCATTTAACGCGCATAGAAAATTACGCAACACCAGTTTATAAATCTATGAACAGGAAATTTTTAATATAATATTAAATGATAAGTAAAGATTATGTATTTTACTAAGATGTGTGATTTTTAAAAAATATAATATTATATTAATTAATGGGTTTTTGGAGTAGGTATTTCAAAGTATTTTAGTTGGCTGCATAATTAACAGCTATTTGCTTAACATAATTAAAAATGTACCTAATTACCCTAATTAGTTCGTTTATTATTATATTTAACAGTAATAGTTGGTATTTCAAAGCAGTTGTTTAAACATCATTATTATCGTTTTCGCAATGTCAATTCGAATGTTACATTGAATTTGATCACTTAACATAGATAATATTATAACTAATGGTTATTTAATTTTTTAATCATATATGATGTACTTATTCGTTGTACGAGTATGTAAAATAGTAAATTAACATGGTCATATATAGTCAGAGAGTGAGCTTTTTAAATGTTTGATATTCCATACTATGCAGAATTGATGAAAAATACTCTGTAAAATATATTTATTATGAAGTCCAAAATGTTTTTAAACCGGATATTAAATTAAACAAAATATTGTTATATCTTTATATAATTTTTTTTTTATATTTTAACAGTTTAAGGATCAATTTAAAGTATTTTGATCAGTTAAATATACGATACCTATACAAATAGATATCTACAAATATTTGAATATTCAAACACTATTCAATAACTGTTTTGTATTTGTTACCATAGTCTTTAGAAATTAAAACATTTTAAAACTTTCAAGTGTTAGTTTATTTAAATTAAATTACCAAAAAGAAGAGGCAGGTAATCCCGGTAAACAAAAATCTGGTTTAATGCAATTACAATTTTTCGAGCTTCTTCGTATAATATCTCGTCTGTCCAATTTGGATTTATAAGTTTTAACGAATCTGCAATATGATTGTGTAACCTCAAAAACAACTCGCCATAAATTATAATACCCAAGTTTTGGTTGTTTCTAACATCACCTATAAATAAATATAAAATTAAATATATAAATAAGGCTATGCATTAAAGTGTTACGTTAAGTTACTTAACGAGATAATTTTTGTTAATGTAACGTTCTAACTTTTTTTTTAATTTTTTTTTTTTTCCAAAGACCAAAAATAAAAATTAATTTTTTTGTTCCATTAATTATTGTTCTTAATAAAAATAATAGGAATGATAATAGTGGATGTGTTGAATTTACTATTAATATATTTTAAAAGTGATCAAAAAACTTTACTATTACAGTTTCACGCATACAGGTATACATTTACTATTCAATTAAAAAAAATTACTTTTAACTTAATATTGTATTTATTTAAAGTTTGACGGATCATAAGATCCAATTACAATATACAAGTATAGTATACAATAATAATAATAATAATAATACAATTATTAACTGTAGTATAAATTATATTAATAATATAAAAGATAAAAATAACAACAAAAAATATACACGAAATACAAAAAATTATATTCACATAGTTACTAAAAGATTTCAAGGAAGTAAAGTTAAACAAATACATTTTTGTTTTGTTCGCTAATGACATTCTATAAACAAGTGAAGGTAAAGCATAGTTTGTTCTTTGTGATGATACATAAAAAATATTAATAATAGTAGACCTAGTTCTACATTTAGGTAAATAAAAATTAAAAAAATTTAATAATTTTGGACAATTCTGGACATTAACAAATTATAATAAAAATATCAAGTCATTAATTTTTCTTCTGTCTGATAAACCAACTAAATGAAACAAATTTAATAGTAACTGGTAAGGAAAGTGTGGTAAACGAGTAATATTGCATTTTAAGACTAAACACCGTAGAAAACTATTTAGAACATTGGTTAAGTAGTGACTTTGATATTTTGTATAAAGGGATCAAACCACAAAATTTTATTAAAATTTGTATTCTAATTTTGATCGGACTACAGAAATTAAATAAAGTTTTCAAAGCAACAAGATCAGTCAAGCCTTAACAATTTCTTGTAATATACCTTAATTAACTAATTCAGACTTGAATATAAGTACAATAATTTGGTAAAATATACTCACCATGGTCAAAACACACACAAACATTATCTCGTCCGTCACAAAATGTCGAATTTCTCTTCTGTTGAACACAAAATCTTTGTCCATTAATCATTTCAGTTTTTAATTTTCCATCCACATTGGACCTAAGGGAGGCTGCTTTAATATTGTTATGTCCGTATAATTGCGATGCATCAACAAATGCAGTTGCTTGATTTATCTAAAATAATATTTTATATTACTTAGTCTTCAACTACGATAAATAGTATTCTATTTTTCTTTTAAATTTCATATAATATTTTTGAAACGTAACATAATTCACTTACTAACTTCAAATCATTATTATTTTTGAACTAAATTGGACCAATCTCTATTATTTATTTTTAAACAAAAAAAAAAAAAAATGTAAAAACAATATTTTTTTTTATAATTATAAATAAATAAATGCTTAGTATGGAATATTATTATAATTGTAATATACAACCGTTTTCGAATTAAAAATTCATCATCAAGTCAATAAAATTGTAACTCTCTATTTATTTATTTATATATTAATTTACGAGTGTTAACCATTTACTAAATATTATTTTCTTTTTATTATTTAATTAAAAATATTTATTTATATTTTACGTATTTGTGTTTATTTAATTAATGATCACCTGGGCTAAAAATTGTATGCAACAGCATGTTTTTTTTGCGACTACTGATTATTGATTTTATTACTAATGTCCAGGAATCACCTCATGATGAGATAACTGGTGGTGTTTTTATTTTACATGTTTTTGCATATTTTAGATAAAATCATATTATTGCATATATTGAATAAAATTAATATTATTGCATATTTCGATTATAAGAATGCGAAAATGCATGTTTTATATTTCGTAATTAATATTTATAATTTAATATTAATATTTCGTATTTAATCCTAGCCCTGCTAATTAAAGTATAAAACTTGGTTTTTTTGACAAACATAAATTTTATTTTAAATTATATTATTTTATTTCTCAATTATATTATATTAAGACAAACAGCCGACCACTGATGTATTTCAATAAATAAACATTTTTTTCGCAACTATATTTTTGTGTTTATCTTATAAAAATTTAAATGCATATTTTTGCATATTTTGGTAAATAAAATGCATATTTTAAAACTTTTTATTGCATACAAATCCTAGCCCTGATGATCACTGTTCACAATTAAAATATATTAACAATATATTAAAATCTAAAAATTGATTTAAAAGTGTATACCTTAAATTAAAATAAAATATAACATTAAAAATTTACTTGGTTAAGTATACAATATATATACAATCTGCATATTAGGTATGTATTCACTATTTGATACCTCATATTTTTAAACATAAAGATTCAAATAACTGATATTCTCCATAAGTTCAAATTACTTCTATATTATAATAATTCCAAGCATAATTTGACTTTAAAATTATATACCTAGCTAGTTCGCTTATTATTTTACCCAAACTATAATATAGACATTCGATAATATTCTCGTGATATATTTTAATTATATTATAAAATATTTGATAGGTACCTACTTAGTGACGTAAGTGCTCTAAAATATAATACTAGAGCGAAAATATTTGTAAAATAGTTAAACTAATAACAAGCGAGTAGCTCTTTTTTTTTTTTGTGATAATCAATATAATAATAATATCATATATATATATATATATATATATAAATGTAAAAATAAATTGATAACCCTATGAATTGTTATTTTAGACCTCTAAAATATTAACGCCATGATAACCAATATTTTGCCCTTACATATCTAATAATACTAATAATCAAATGGAATTCATGTTTAAGGCAAAAACTAACGGTAAAAGCTAAAATAATAACACGCCAGACAATTCACGATGAAAAATAGTAGGTACTCACGGGAATTTGAGGAGTTATTGAACAATTAAAATTAAGAGTAGTCGTCATTGCTCGTCTAAATGACAAACAAGATCTTCGAGGCACATCAAACATTAAATACACTTGGTCCATTGGATCTATTGTAATTACTGCTTGACATTGAGGTGGAATATCGTCTGAGTTCTGAATAGCGCAACAATCACTAGGTCCTGAACAAATCAACAATAAATCTATTCAATTGCGAAACTTATTCTGCGGTATCAGAATAAAAATATATCAAATCCAGTAAAGTATAGAAACATTTGTGCGATTCTACTGATATACTATTTAGTATTTTAGTAGAATTGCACAAATCAATTAGTGAACTAAATGACTTAGGTCAATACTAAAGATTTTTCGGATACCCGGTAATCACTCGATAGCCGAGCACTCTATGCCATAATTAAGACTCGGTCCTCACCCGGTAACCGGCGTAACACTAAATTTTCACACGACCCTTACCCGGTACCCGGTGTAATATTGATATTTTTACTCGGCTAATACTTAGTACCCGACTTACAATTAATTTTCTATCCGGAACATCTCTAGTCAATATGAGAAGCGAAACGGCCAAAAGGGACAATCCTATGGATACACTTTTGTATTCTTACATATAAAAACCAAAAATATTATTCAATTGATCGTATTCATACGTCACCATCTGCAGTCATTGATTAGAATATTATAAAAAGTATAATAATGATTCCAATGAAGTATTTACGATTGTTATATAATTTTAAACATTTGATATCGTACTAGGTAATTAATAATTTTAGTAATCACCGATACTGAATTATCTTTTTTTTTTTTGGTACCTGCGTAAAATTGTATCATTTCATACACCATGACTTTCCAATAAATATTTGTTGTTGTAAGACAAACAATACAATTTCACATATTTTGTTTCAAAATAAATATTAGAAATTTATAATAAAGTTTCAATTTATTATTAATTCTTGTCAAATATTTTTTTAGTATTTTATTACTTTTATGTAACTCATAAATGGTAAATAAATAAATAAATAAACTCATAAATGTATAAATGTATTCAGAGCGCCGTAATTCGACCAGCACTTCTGTAGCTTATTTTATGTTTATTATAAGTCAGCTAGATATAGAGTATAACTCAAAATTTTAAATTAGGTACTTGAATTTCCGATATTTCAAAAAACAAAACTGGTTTTTTATCCCAAAATAAGTTAATTAAGAAATCTTTAATAAGCTCGAATTATAGATCTTTTATGTACCAACTACAAGAGTTAAGTTGGTTTATATTCGCGTATTTATTAGTTTACGAATATTATACGTATTATACGTATGTAATATTCAAATTTAAATCATTTTTCCATCTTAATCAGTGGCATATACAAAGGGAGATGTGAGGGTCAAATCTCCCCTAGGCCTTTTTTTAAATGTTATAAAATAATTTTATTATTGTGGGGGCATTAGAAATGTAAAAAAAAAATAATTATTTGTTTGAAAATTATCCCCCCCCCCATACAAAAGTTATGTATACATCACTGATCTCAACGTTGATATGCTTTCATCTTCAGTTAGGTACTATAATTCTATCATACTCGCAATTTCTTGAACGCTGATTTCAAGTAATTTTTAAATTACTAATTTGGTATCCGAGTTATATTTACCCGATAAATCTGGTGACATTAAAGTAATATCATGTGCTAGCCACTGGCCCATTTGGGTGAAGTGTACATTTGTTATTTCTGGTACATCTATAATATTCGGTGAGATCGTAGATATTGCCAACTGAAGCTCACGAGGTCCTGGTAATTTATTGCCACTTGACTGAAAACGTATTTGATGGTCACCTGTTGATATTATAAAATACGAAAACGTCAACTCTCCCAAGTAGTACGGTAAAAATACCGATTTTAAACTTATAGTTCTTTATTGACTTGTTTAGCACTCTTTATTACAATTTATAGCTGGTACCGAATTCCGTCCTGGGCCCCCTATGATTCCATAACTGAAGACCGAATTCCGTCCCGGAGGCGCACAGTAGTCTGTATTGTAAATTAGCTTACATTAATTAATACCTTCTTAATATGAGTTAAAAAAATTATGTTAAATATCAATTCTATTAGTTTTTAATAGGCTGAATCCAAATTTCTTATCAGTTTTTAAATCAGCCCCTAATTAGGGGTAAAAAAAGCTACTTTCCTAAATGTTCATAAAACTTGTATATTAAACATCAATTAATTTACATGTTCTAAGGGTGTATCTAAATATAATATTCATTCTGTAATCAACCCCTAGTAATGGGTAATAGGGGATGTTTTTAATTTTTAAAATTAAATTATATACATTTATCAATATTTAACATTGTAAGTAATATAACTATAAAAAAGTACGTAACAATATATTATAGTAATGTCACTATCACTATCACAATTACTGTTCAAATTTGTTTCGTCTAACTGCATTACATTCAATAACGATTTAGCTTCATTTGATAAGTCTTGTAATTTTTTTTTTTTTTTGGAAATAATCTTATGGACGATATTAAAGAGTCAGATGATATTAATAACACATGTAAGAGGTCTTTGTTTATGTTTATTTTTGAAATTTTTCTTGTGTGGTGTCTTCTGTACATTTTGTAATCTTTATTTCGAGATTCTTGAGCCTCCTCTGATAAATGTCCTAAAAGGAGGTTTTGCATAGGAACCAAACAATTACTTTCGGAAATATGCAAATTATCTGGATAACAATTTTTTTGCCTCTAGAATACTTGCATACGGTGAGTATATATCACAATTTTTTTTCTTTGCTCCAAGTCTTGTATTTAGGTATTGTTGTTTGGTTAATTTATTTTCAATTAAAAAAGCCAATGATTCATTGGCAGTATATGTAATAGTTTTATTATGATCTACGTTAGTAATTATATTTTTAATTTTGGTAGATCTTGTTGGTGATGCCAAAGAATCATTTAGAAGTAAAGCAGCACTTCTTTTTCCCGACTTTTGAAATTTAGTTGATAATGCCAACACTAATTCCGGCGAAGAATAATAGGTAGTACTTTTTGTCTTTTAGTTCTTTCAGAACATTCCAAAAATTCTTTTGACGGACGACCTGTTTGATTTTTATCATTATATTTTGTACATACGTTATTCACAGGTAAGTTAAATATTGTTTTTAGCCATGCACTGTTATTTTTATTAAAAATGTGAATATTTCTATTACATTGTATCCATTTTCGTGATAAAACCATCGTATAACTATTTAAGCCAGCATTTATTTTATTTGAGTACTCAAGCATCCAATTTTTCCCATCATACTTCTCACATAACTTTTTAAACAAAAATTCTCTGGAGTGTTTGGACTGGGGATTTAGTGATCCGTTTCCCCGTAATAAATTAAATAAATCATTGTAAGTGAAATTCTGATTTCTAAAATCACGACTACAACTCGCTAAAATAAAATAAATAAAAATAAAATATTATTAATGAAACGGCTTTTTTTTCCTAAATTTTCTAACAAGATATTACACATTTGAAAAAATTATGCCAAGTTAATACGCAAGTATACGCAAAAAAATTATATTAGGTTAAACACCTAAGAGTATGTAGAATATTATAGAATAGTTTTTTAACAGTAATAATTAGTAATTTATTAGTGATACTTTTTTAAGTTATAATAATAACAATTAACCATAATAAATAAAACATCGTTGTATCAACTACATCATAAAAAACATAGAAATAATATTATTAATACACTTACCTTCTGCAAAAATGTCCATACTTTAGGTTTCAAAAAGAAAAATTATAACTTAAGTACATGCACACCGCACAGATCGCTAAACCTGAAAGACAGAATAATGCGTGGTATGGCCTCGTTGATCAACATTTCTGTTCCCTAATCGTAATTTTATTGGCTTGATAAGATATAAAATTTTCTCATAATATGAAATATTGTTCAATTAGGTAATCAGTTTTAATAATTTGATATCAAATAATACAATAAACGTACTTTTAAAAATAGGTTTTGGCATGCTAATTTACAATACAGACCACTGTGAGGCGGAGCAACTATATCTGAATTCCGTCCTACTACCTGTAACTATGATATATTTGGCAGTAATATTTTCCTTCACATTTTCTCCAGGCTTAGGACTGGCAGCTTTGCTTTTCTCACCTACCACTGTTTCGTATGCAATACCAACCATACTGCAATGAATAAAAGAACGGACGAACAAAAACATAATAAATAACAATCGATGCACTCTCGTGAATTTCTGACGAATAACTGACGCCTCTTCATATATATACTACGTTTACATGCATCCATTAATTCGTATTAATTTGATTCGTATTGAATCAATTCGAATTAGGTCACAAGTATACATACTATAGTAATACCGTATTAGGATAATACACTTCCACCAAACCAGTTTACGTGGCAACGTTTACATGCACAGTTTAAACCGATTTACCTTAATATTCGAATTAATAATTTCATTTTTTCCCTCCAATTTATTCAGTGATATTCTATTGATAACAATTATGTGATAATATTATTTTATAATTTAATATTTATTATTAATAGTTATTAGTTAAAGACGTTAAAGTAAAAAATTTTTAGAACTTTGTTTTATTGTTTAATGTGTAGAATTTTGTAAAATTCTATGAAGTATGTCTTCTTCTAACTATTTACAATTGTTACAAATATATATATATATAATCTATATATAGATCCACCTTGATTATAAATTTAATAATTGATAACGTGTATTATACCTTATCACAACAAATTACCGCAATCCTGATTCGGTTGTTGTAGTATCATCCGTTTATATGCATTTTGAACTCCCGTAGTTATTTCCAATGCGCATTTCAAATGTGAATTAACTAAACCGTTTTAGGTAAACCGAATTGGTATAAAACTGAATTAACAGTCGTTTACATGCATTTAACTCCAGGAGTTAACTAATTCGAATTGAGTTAAATCGGTTTTAACTGTGCATGTAACCGCGGTAATAGTTTCGATATTAAAACGATTTAATACGATTTCGTAATGCAGAATATCTATAATTAAGCTATTTTTAAAATGCCGATTAGGCGATAAAGATATGAAAGATATAAAATACGATAAGAAAATAACATTATTCTTTTGCATTATGGTAGGTATACACAATACAATACATAGTATATAAATCGTTTACGTTTTTATTACGAATAATTGCGATAATACAAAAAAACGATACGCGTGATGTCAGGTGAAGCCTCTTGAAGTTCTATAAAAATTGAACTTATATTAATACCGTCCAAAACTAGTCGGGACAGAATTCGGACAGTTTATCCACTCCCGGGACGGAATTCGGTCATTTTCAGCAACCCGGGACGGAATTCGGCGATTGCCCAATTTATATAATTGTTATTATATTATACCTATACATATATACCTAATATTATAACAATTAAACCAATATATATATTACCGGCAATATGGGATCAGCAATTCAGGTATTTTGCAAAATGCCTAGGCATTATGTAAATTGCGGACATATTTTAGGCAATGTAAATACAACATATGATTTTCAATATTATTTTTTAGGCTAAGTACAAACATTTTATTATATATTATATTAGATTAAGATTCTTATCTTAATTCTTATTCTTATTCTTTAGATTCTTAATTATTATACATTATTACTCATATTACAGACAAAATTTCATTTTTATTTATTATATAAATATTTTACTTAAACTACTATTTACTTATTAAAACATGTTGTAGAAAAGTGATATTTTGAAGTGCACAAAATTTCATTTTTAAGGCAAATACACTTTTTATTTTGACACTTGGACTTACAAACACATTTTAAAAATCCTTGGCCAATTCTTGTGGATTGAATTTTTATCAACTCATTATACTGTTCATCAGATAAAAAACTAATATTAGTGGCCAAATTTTTTTAAAAAAAATTTGTAGTTTGTCATAAAAATTAGACTTCATACTAATCATTTGCATAGTTGCAACACCAAAACGAGACACGAAAATAACGAGAAAAATGACGATATTGTAATAAAATTAATAGTACGTTCAATATTATATCTCAGAATTATTATTGTAGTAGTAAAATAATATTAATCTTTATTACATTAAATCGTGAACGCACATTTATGATAAACGACAATTTTGTTTGTTTTCTTCATATTGCCTACTCCACGATTGGCATTATACATAATACCTAGGCAAAGCTCGTACTATGTATATTACCGTGTGATTTTTGGCATTTTGTATAATACCTAGGCATTTTGCAAAATACCGGATTATCCATATTGCCGGTAACATATAGTAATCAGCTCAATTTTATCAAATATAAATTATAAAATATATCAAATATAATTTAAGATATTTATGGTATTTTGGTACATTTTCTGACTCATCAATACCAACAATATAATATAATATATTTTTAGTAAAACCCAAGAATACAAATGAAACTTACCATCAGCAAAAAAAGCTGAGCCTAATCTAATATAAGGAGTACCGGATGATCCCCATAGTGGATTTAGTAAATTGTTGCACGAGCCATTAATAGTTCTATACTTAGAGGAAGGATCGCAAGTAACTGCAGTCGCGCATGACTGGTAAAATGTATTGTCTATCACTACAGTATTCTTAAAATCGAATTCAGATATTCTAGCCTACAGAATAAAAAAAAAAATAATCATACACATAAAATCTGTTAAATTACAATACATAAAAAGTAGTGGTAAGAAAAATATTTTACAAAAGCATAATACGGCGTCATATCCAATAATATACTATTGACCATACTACAGACTACATTTTATTTTTAAAATTATTATAAATTATACATAATGTATTAAATATTAAATATTGAATTAATGTTTTAATTAATAGTCTCTGGGTTCCAATTTAGTAAATTAAAAAAATTTTGAACCCTGTTCCATATTTTTAATTTAATTTGTAAGATAATTTATTTAAATAAAATTAGATAAAAAAAAACAACTTGTTGCTTAGAAAACTAATTGAAAAATATGTAATACGTAAATTGTTTTTACCACTATCTCAAAAATGAAAACCGAAAACCGTGTATTTCACATAATTATTATAGTTATTCATTATTAAATAATAGTTTAACTAAGTACTATATGATTGAAATATTTTTTTAAAATTTATTGTTATTTTTAAATTTATTAAATAAATAACAATTTACAACTTACTTGAGAAGGTGGTATTGAAGTCACACAAAATGATAAAATACAAACCAAACTACTTAAAAATAACATTTTTGTTTGTAAGTACTGTTATAAAAAAATATGGCAAATTTCAAACAATAATTTTAAAAATAAGCGAATTTGTTAATTATTTTACCTTTTCAAAACTTTATTTACAATTTTTGTACCTCGGTAGCTCACTAAAAATTTGGTAAATATAAAGTTTTAATTTTTCACTTAGAAAACATTTTTCATGCATTCATTATGGGTTGAATACATTTTTTCCTAAAATATATTAATTTTTATTATTATCATCATACTAATAAGCTTCACTCAAATTTATACAGAAAAAAAAACACTTGATGTTCGTAACATATAGTGCTATATTAGAATAATAGATTTATTATTAAATAAAAAAAAAACTTACTTTTAAATTGAATACAAAATTTATTTTTTTTTTTTTAATAATTTCTAATTTAAAATTTAAAATACAATATTTTATTTGTTACTATTATAAAATGCATACAATTAAAACTGTAGGATCCAAATAACATATTTCATATAAAAAAAACCTAAATATTCAGTTAATTAAAAAAATGGCTAAAATAAAATAATAATTATTCATAATATTTGTAATGAGCAAATAAACGTCATGTAAGCAATTACAGATATCAACATTTAAACCTAGTATACCAGACATGTTTGCACGTCGTGTTTCATACAATAATCATAGCTTCGAATAATAAATTACAAATTTCCAAATGTAAACAGCATAAAATAACACTTCTGCGTTTATAAATCACAACATATAATATACTTATTTATTATCTGAAATTATGCATATTAACAGCCAACACTTCTGCTAAACATTAAATTAAAATTATTAAATGTACTACGATTATTAATGATACGAACCAATTCTGTGCTAAAAATAGTCCATAATTATTTTAATTTTAAAATTAATATTTATAATTTTAAGGTAAAAGGTTTAGATAAACAACATGTGAAATGTCTTTATAGTAAACTACAAAAATAAATACCAATACATGAATGTATACTTGCATATTGTACTTATATCATTATTTCATATACATGCTCAGTAAGAAAGTAGATTCCAATTAAAAATAATATCAGTTATGGTAATATATAGTAGGAATCTTCAAACCAAAGCATACTTTTATTTTTAGCATAACATATTGCAATGTGTCTTAACTTATAATTATACATTTTTTCTTACTTCTTCTTATTAACTTACCATTTTCTCTTTACTCATGTCAGTAGTATTTATACATATTCTCATATATAAACTATTAAGTCCAAGACATTTGATTTCCAACATTTATTTGAAAATTTACTCAAAATCATGTAAATTTCAAATAAGAACAAATGTTGAAAAATATATGGAAAAAAAAATCAATGACAACAACAATCTATATTAAAACAATATTTTTAATAACAATAAAAGTAAATTAATAAAGATAAAATAAATTAATATTAAATAGATTTTAAAAAACTTTTTAGTATAATTTTAAATATTATAATTTCTAAAATATTGAATACACTCTTCTTTTAGTATAATAATTCAAACATTAACTGTATAGTTAATTAGATATTTCACTTATCTTTAGTATTTCTCCCTAAATAACTTTCAGATATTTCTATCGCAGCTACATTAGTTTTCAATGCAGCTGGTACACTGTTGTAAGTTAAATGCAATGAACCAGCTAATAAATTACGTCTAGCAGAAACTAACTGTTCACAAACTATTCGGCAATTTTTTCCACTGTTTCCAACCAATACTCGACATGTAAGGTTGTTCATTATCTCTTCACACTCAAACAATTGTTCTACAAGGCCGTATTCAAGAATAGTGTCTAATACCGAATCGGGTAATTCCTTAAAACACAATTTTTAAGACAAATATTATCATCATTTTTAAAGTCTTAAAATGTATACATAATATTTAAGTACTTACATGGTTAGTTTGAAAATAACTAATAGCTGCTGCTTCTACAGCACTCTCTCCAGATAGTAAATATAATAAAAAAAGCAATGTTCTATTCACATTTGGAATACTACTAAAATCTTCTAATTCCTAAAATAATAGATGTTACATTAAATTAATTAATCTCACTATAATGAAATATAGGATAAATACATAAAAAAAAAATTCAATTATGATAAATATATTATGTACCTTTTGGCTAAAATTATGTTTACTACATGTATATTTCAGTACCGATATTGAAATCCGATATTCAAATGGCTGAAAAGCCAATAACCGTTTTAAAGCGTTGACCCATACATCATTAACACTAAATATGAAAAAATACATGTAATCATTATTATTATTAACATTATGTTATATTATTACATTAATATTATAGTTTTCTATAGTTATAATTTCATTTTTATTTTTATATCAAATTATTTAAAATTTGAATACAGTACAGATAAGTTGCTCACAAATTATAATTTAATAATTTTATATATTATTAGAAAATTTTGAAGCATATCCTATTAATAAAATTTAATTTTTGATTATAAAATGTTTACAATGATAAAAACCATTTTTAACAATACAATATTTTTTCACAACCTTTAATTATTTATTAAACCAAACATTCATAAAATATAATTGCAATAAAAAGTTCTACTCAACTAAAATTTATAATTTTAATATATACAAACTAATAAATAGTATTTGACATTCATTAACTTACTTATGTGACTGAGATAAAAGTTTTACAATTTTATCAATATCAGCAGGTGATTCAATATTTTGCATCAATTGATCAAAATCTATGTTATCCTGACATACATCAGATGCTGAAGAAGTCTAAAAAGGATATTTCAATGAAAAAAAAAAATTTAGTTATTATTTTGCAATATTTTGAAAAAAGAAAAACTGACAGAACGACTAAATTTTATACAGTGTTGTATTTTTTCAGGTAAGTTTTTCAACAATCTACTTAGAACATGAGAACTACATCCAGTTTGTTGGGCATTAGAAAATGTTTCATAAGCAGTTTCAGGATTCAACAGTAACTTGTAATCTATGTCTATAGAAAAAAATGATTTTATCTAATTTTCAAGATTTGTTAAGAATCAAAGGTTTACCTGGAAGAGTACTATGAACTCTCTTTAACAACTTTATATGTTGATTAGGTGTCATGTTATCTCCGTGTTGCAGAGAGTTATTAGGATAAATATAGTTTAACACTATATAATAAGCAATCAAAACATTATGATTAGTTCCTGGAACATCTTCATAAACATTGATCAGATTATTGTAAAACTGCTCTTTGTTTTGAATCAAACTATCAAATTCCATTGTAGTTATAATTTCTTCTAAATTTCTCGAAGACATTGTGTGTAAACAATGTTTTAAAAACTCTAATAACAATATATCATTTAAATCTAAAGATTGCCTATTACATATTTCTAGTGCTTTTTCAAGATTTTTTAATTGACCAGTTCTATAAAAAAAATTCCCAATAAAATAAAACATCTTGTAAAATTAAAAAATAAAGAGAAAATCATACCCAGCCATTCTGATAAGTTCTTTTTTCATTTCTTCAGAGCTCAAATTTGAATCTAATCCTTTTGAACATTTACTATACAATAATGCATATTTACGTAAGTACTGTCCTATTTCAGGTTCAGATAGTGAGGGTTGAGCATTTAAATTAGACATAACTTGTTTAATTAGCTAAAAAATAATAATACCATTATTATATATATATATTTATATCTCAAAAATAAAACTTATAACAAAACATACTTTATTTGTTGATAATTTCAGGAATTCTATATCATGCATAAATTGAAGTGCATAGCGTAATGCAAAAATATAAAGTGCTAATTTAGTACTTAGAACTCCTTCACAACAATTGAAGCATTCATCAACAATAATGTTGCTTGATACATGTAAGAAACATAATACTGACATTTTGGAATCATAACCAAGATATTTAAAGCCATAAATGGCCAACACTAAAGCACAAAAAAATAACAATACATCACCCATCTTAAAACAATATATAATTTTAATTTACCTTTGTCAATATTAGAATGGTTATAAGATACTTTAAACAATTCTTTTAAATTAAATATCATGTCTTCATGTGATAATCCAACTTCAACACAATTGGAACATTTTAAATGTAATGAACTTTCATGATTTGATACAGCAAGATAATTGATGTTCTTAATTCTAGTTTAAAATAAATAATTCATAAAATATTTGATATAGTAATTTGATATAGAAATGTATTAAGTTATTACTTACACTGGAAGCTCTAATGGAGAATCATACTCATATAATTGTTCAGTATTTTCATTTTCCAATGATTTCCTAAAAATTTAAAATATTTAATAATATTGATAAATACATTGAAATTATTAATTTTAAATTATATATAAATTTATAGGTTTATAATAAAATATTTTTGATGATCAGGGTAAACAATATTTGCCACTTGTATTCATTGATATTGGTAATATATAATGGTTTTTTTAACTATTATGCTAATTTGACAACATCTAGACTAGTGGACTTCAACTAGTGTGTCACGACCCAATTTTGGTCGCGTAAGCTTTAAGAATGGGTCGCCATAAGTTTTCTTTTTAAAATTTAAAAAATTCATATGCATATATATATAATATAATGCATGTCATATGATATTGCATAAAAATGTTTTAGAATAAACCTGAAACCGTACTATTTTATACTATTATAAATTTGTAGAAGATTAGAATGAACACTTTTTTGTTATACACTCATACCTAATTAAAAAAAAGCCAAAAACCAATATACGACACATACTACTAATCATTAACTGTCAATTACGTAGTGGAGGACTGTACACAATATATCTCAATACGCACCGACCTGAACATGCCATCCAACATAGTAAAAGTACTTAGCGAAAAACAAACTCTGAATATTGTCACATTTTTAAATATCACAAATATTATTAGTAAATTCTTATTTTACACTTTACTTCACCTGTATTATGTCATATGAAATATTGTAATATTAATTTAACACCTAATTCATCTAATATGTAACATCTAATAGCTAATATTTCCTGTTGAAGCCTTCATTTTCAAAAAAAAAAAAAAAAGAATGAACAATCAAATTAAGTAATCATATAGCAATAGCCCGACTTAATCCATACAACTCATTTATTTTTCATATATATATTAACCTATTAAATCTATTAAATTATATGAAATTGAGCTGAGGTGGAGGTATTTCGTGTGAAAAAAGTCCAGGACAAATATCGCACTCATTTCTTTTGTGTATAATAACATATATTTTTTTCGATATCATTACATGCATTGGTATCATAACTTATAACAAAATTAAACATTACCTAGATACCTAGATAAATACATATATATATATATTTTTTAATTCAGTTATAAAAGCACTTCTAAAATAACATAAATTAAGCAATTTTAATTTTTTATTTAGTTTTCATGGCTAACAAAGTTGGCATAGGTCACAAAAAATTTTTGGTAAGAAAAGTGGGTCGCTGGTCGAAAAAAGTTAAAGACCACTGATCTAGACAAGGTGTATTAAGAAGAGTTTACGCCCAATGGTTTCACGTTATCTTCTGCACTGTAGAATGAAATGGTTTGTATAGATTATCGGTACAAGCGTGCACACAGGTGCACCACATGAAACCTGGACTGCATCTAATCTTTATGAGAAGCTAAATTTTTTTAAGGATGTATGTATACTATTTTCAGTTTATTGATAAATGACAAATTTTTTTTTTGTTTTTCTATATGCTTATGATACAATTACAAAGTTAGGTTCTGAGTGAAACAAAAAATATTGGTTTTACCATGATGCTAATTTTTTAACTGCCTGTGTACATGATTTTGACTAAAAAGATTGCTTCGATCATCATAATCATAGAAAACTTCTGATAAGAAACATTGACTAGTGAGTTCCTACTTTAAAAGAGGTCATATTATTAAATTCCTAACAGTTATCTTTATATATCACATCCAACCTAGAGATTTCAACATTTTTTTATAAATTTATCTATTTAATATTTTATGCCAGGTTTCCAGATTTTTAAAACTATGGGGTGATTTAAAGTTTGTGATCTCGATATATGAAGTCGATACCTCTGTAAATTTAATATAATAGATGTTATAATTTATAATAATAAGTAAAATTTAAATATTGTTAAAGTCTTAATTTAAAAACATTCTCATTAAATATTAAACACTGTATTTCTGAGTAAATTTACGTTGATGAAAGATGAACATTAATCAGAAAATAAAAAACAAAAGTTCAATTTTATGTATCACATACCGCAATTCAATAACTGAGATGATTTTTTCAACTGGACAATTGAGCACAGCAAATGATAATACTTTAATCTTTAAACCAATATCAACGATATCATTATGTAGTCCTATTTCTACACATAATGGCCATACTGATGGCTCATGTTTGTCTATCAATTGAACACAAGTTTTAGAAGCAAACTTTAAATCATTAGCCTGAAAAAATGGTTCAAAATAATTCACATACATATAATAAAAAAATATATTTAAACATACTTGAAAAGCAGTCATAGCACATTTGAATAAAATGTTGGATTCGATGGATACAAAATTTTCATGACTTGAAATTTCCAATTTATTAGCTAATACTATTAACTTTTTAAGTAATGTGTAATTATTTGGTTTAGAAGATATACTTATGTCAATCAGTTTCCATTTATTTTCACATTGGCGAACTATTATTACATTAAAAACAGTTTTTAAAAGTAGCTAAATGTTAATAGCTTATAACTTACATTTATAAGAATTAAAAATAAAATATGAACATAAATCATTCATTCATTCATATCATTAATTTTTAAATGACACGCAAAATAATTAAAAAAATGTTTCATTATTATAATTATTAGTTTTTAATATTAAATTATAAAAATTAATATGATAATATACTATTAATAATAATTTTAAAAAAAAGTGTATATTAATTTTGCCCCAATTAGTAGGTACCTATATGACTTATGTTATATTTTAAAATCATTAAAATGAACACCAATTTTTACACAAAATAATGTTATATAACTTTAGAAAAGTATTACCTTGAACTGGAAGTAATTTAGTACCAAGAGTGTTAAATATTGTCATAGCAGAAATTAAATTCCATTCATGTATTACAAGATCATCAATATTAGGTATGATTTGTAAACATAATCTGAAAAAAAATTTGATTGAAATAAATATAAAAAGTTAAAAAGTTAATTTTAACAGTTGTCTTAAAGATATTTACTTAGCTAAGGCCATTGATGAATCGTTGAAAGACTTTGATTGGTCAAAATACATAGAAAATGAATTTTTTATTATTTTTAAGCTTAAGTTTTCAGGTAATTTTCCCAATAAAATATCTTTACTCAATAGCATTATTTTTTCATCTTGGCTAGTTAACAACATTCTAACATATTCCTAAAAAAAAAAACAAATTAATCTAAATAAATAAAAAAACAATAGGTATGTTAAATATTCATAAAATAACTATTTAAACATTTAATTTCACCTCGTAACATATTGCAACCGAAAGAGATGGAAAACAATATTCTGCTATTTTTAATAAATCTCCAAGTACATTTGACCAATACTTTTCTGTTTGATTTTTTCTATTAAAAATTATAACAAAAAATAATTTTAAAAATACACTGATTAAAAATTAAAAAAAAAAAATTAAAAATTCTGCTCACATTGACGTATACTCGCACATTAAAACCATAACTTTTCGGAAAAAACCACTATCAGTCAAATTATTAATTAAATCTTTAAGAGGATATCTAATTCCATAATTCAGTAATAGTTTTGAAGCATTTATTATTTGTTTCATATCCTCAAGTTTTTTAATACAAGGTTTATTTTCAACATTGTTTCTAAAATAAAAATAACATATTTATTTGAATTAAGTTATTAAATACCAAACATTTTATAAAACATTACTTCACACTTTTTAACAGTGACAGAACTATACATTGTGCTTCGTCTAATTGATCAGTTCTTGAATAAGTATAAATACATTTAAGGCCTAAATCTATTTTTGCATTATCTGAGACACTTACACACCAACCATTATTTTGAACATACTCGAAATACTGTAATAATCATAAAATTAAAAAACAATACTATCTTAGATTTAAATTAATAAAAATCACCTGTGATGACTTTTTTAATGAACTTTCACATGTTTGAATTAAGTATTTTTCCAAAATATAAAACGTATCAGCTTTCGTTTGAATATATGGCAAAAAATAGTTTGTCAAATTCTTCAAGAATAATGTTTCATCACACTATTCAAATGAAAAAATACATTTTAATAAAAATAATAAAAAAAAGTTCAATTTATTTCACAAACCCTTGACATAAATAATGATGCTTTTTCTAAAGTGTTTAATTGTTCAATATCTTTCAAAAACATATTCTCTAAGCCAACTTCATACACTAAAACTTCCAAAACAGACAAATCTTCGTGTAATTTTTCTAATCCCTTACAAAGAAAAATTGTTAATAATATTTTGCACCAAATAATATAAAATTATTAAATGTTTACTTTGATATTGTTTTCAAGTGCAATGGTTGACAATTCTAATGCATGTTGAACTAATTTAGTACACAACTCAATGTCCCGAATTCTTTTTGTATACCAATGAATTAGGTCATTTTCAGATAATGTAATTATTTTTATACTTTCAAAAGTACCAGTTAATAATTTAAATCTATCTGATTCACACCAGTCAAGTTCCCTTAAAATTTCTGATTCTAATAATACGGCTTGTTTTGTAGATGTATTCCAAACTGGCAATAAATGTCTAAATGTATGTATAAAAAAATTACCAATTTCAATTTTTATTTTGACATAAAAAAAATAAGTTTATTAAACTTTTTTTTTTAATTTTTAATAAATTATCTAAATTTAAATTTTACTTGTATAATTTGGGCATTAATGTCTCTGGAAAATCATTTATTATGTCTAACCAGAAAGGGAGAACTTGATCACTATAGTAGGTAAAAACAATAGAAACAGCATCAACTTGGCATTGTCTAGCTAACTGTAGAGCCCATTGTAGAGGACTTAAATCTCTAAGATGTTTATATGTGTTGGCACTATAAAGGGACTCACAGTCACCATCCATTTTTTTTAAAATGATTTCATAAGTGGACAGCTTATCTAAGTAATTTAATAGTTTGAGTCTTGATACTATAAATTCTTTACCTTCTTGACTAAAAGTACCTAATTAATCATAAAAAACAATTACATTTTAATTAATATTAAGAAAAAGTATACATACTCAAATTTTCAGGATCTATGTTTAAGTAAGCAGAAAAATCTGTTATTTCTAAACCATAGGCAATCAACTGCTTTGCTCCAGTTAACGTTTCTGAAACTCTATTGCAACACTCGTTCACAATCCATTGTTTATCAGATACTTTACTCTTAAAGGCAAATTAAAAAATTAAAATAAGGATTGTGTTTACTATATTTCATTTTTCTTACTAAAATATTATTAATTGTTTCTTCCAGAACTGAACTATTACACCATTGGTGTTTATAGACCAAATCTTGATTCAAATTGTACTTCAAAGCTAACTGTAATGCATCTTCATACTCCTTTTTTTGTATCTTTAAATTAATAACAGCAAAATATTACAATAATATTTCTAAAACAATAGTTGAATATTTCAATACAAAATTATCAAATATTATGATATAAAAATATAATTAATAGTTATAAAATAGTTGAATTATATAACAATGTTAATTTTTAAAGTACTATTGGCTATGGATAAGCATACATGTATTTTAAGTACATATGGTACATTCATGTATATAATTTAACATTTTCATAAGTAAAAACAAAACTTAATTGAATATAAAACACCAATAAATCCTTTATATTCCAAAATAGTTTATGTTTTCATCATGTGATTAGTGACTTAAAGTTATCTTACATATTATACCCTATATTATTAATCAATAATCAAAAAAATATTTTAGTATTAACAAATTTAATATTACTTTTTTCATAAGCAGCTGTTGAGGAGTAGTTTTAGTCACTGCAATAAGTTTATACATATTTGTTGAAGTCCCTTTGGTGTTTACAGAAGAATCCTTGGGCAAATTAAAACAAAATATTAAAAAAATAATTTTTAAAATAATGTGTTTATATTTAATTATATTATATATTATAATTTTTTTATAAACTAAAAATGAAAAAATAACAAACATTTAAATTTAAAAAATATTTTTGACAGAAATAAAAATGGTTAATGACCTGAGTATATTTATTTATTAGTATATACTCAAATATAAATTTATTTTATTTTAAACTAAAGTAAAATAAATAATTACCTGAGAATTATTGAAATATTCTATTTTTTTAAAATCAGCAACAACAAAATTGTCACTATTATATGAACCACATAATTTGAAATGAAAAGGATTCAGTTTTGTATTAACTACACTCTGTTGACCTTTTTCTAGACAAACGATTAAAGTACCATCAAAACATCCTAAAATCAAAATCTGAAACAGAAACAAAAGTTTAACTAAGATTTCATATAACATGAAACGGAAATGTCATTACCTCATTACTCCACCATTCAATATCTACAATTCCACCAAATTCTTTTTGATCGTTTACAAACCATTTATTGCAAATGCTAAAAATTGAAATAGTCAATAGTATAGTAACTTAATTGAGTATATAAATAAATTATTTTTTAAAAACATATGAAATTATATGTGTAAGTAAAATTATTAATATACCAACATTATATCTGGAAAATTCCATATGCAAACTGTTCTAGTACCATATAAACATGCCAGCATTGTACATAAAGGCGATAAACGCATTTTTATTATATGTTTCTGTAATTATAAATTCAAATACTTATACAATTAAAAAAATAATACTCAACTTACATTATTTCTGCGCAATATCATATTAAAAAATTTGGATAAAAATCCATTTTTTATAATATTTGAAGGTAAAACAGGATTGTAGTAAGGTTCATATGAAATCATTGACCATAAATTTAAACCAGAATCATTTAAGTCCTAAAAAAAAAATATTAAATTAAATTAAATTTAACCTATATTACAGATAATGATTAACCTTACTAATTGATTTTGAACATCAGAAGATGTAATCATGTAGGCTGGATCTGCACATGATGTGACAGATGATAATGTAGATGCACCTAATACTTGAATAAAATTAAATGTATGTTGTATTTGATAACCATAAACAGATGATACCGCATAGCTAGTTAATGATCCATTTCCACCAATTAATATAAGTTCATATGACCTAAACATAATTTAAATTATATAGAATTTCATAAAATATTTGAGTTACGTAGTTAAAGCTACCAACAATATAATTAGACCCGCTAGATATCAAAAAGTGAAAACACTAATCCATTTTTATAAAAATTTGTTGTTTTAATTTTAGTTTTACATTATTATAATGTTGAACCTTTAAATAATTTTTTTTTTTTATATTTATATTATAAAACTATAATAATAGTATATCAAACAAACAATCCAAAAATACATGTCTATTTTAATATTAATACATACTTAATAATTATTAATTTTTCATAATAAATTTCAAGTAGAGGTATAGTTATCATTACTAAATGAAAATTGATTCGGGGTCTGTATTATTGTAAAAAAAAAAATCAAAACTACATGATACTTAAACATACCATTTTGAAGACCGCGTGCGCAAATCTGAGAAGAACAATTCTTGGGCATAATTATTATTTGCAGGTTGTTTGGTACTTTTGTGAATCTTATGAAAATATTAAAGATTTACATATTAATAAGACCTTTTTTTTTTTTTTAATAATAATCAAAATAAGTTAATCTTAAAAATGTGTTATGGTATACTTACAGACTCAATGACAAATAAATTGGAGGCCAAAAGATCATAACAAGCAATATGACCATGTGTAGTGGCTATTGCAAAGATAGAACAATCAGGACTCCATGCTAATACTCTCTTTGATGGATATAAATCATCATTTATTAAATCGGGTACTAAAAAAATAATTTAAAATAATTAGTTAAAAATAAATTTTATAAAAAATTGCAAAAAAAAAGGGTTATTACTAGATTTAAGATGTTAATGAATTTTACATTTTCTTTTCCTTTGATTCTATACAATGCTATCTTAACTAAAAATTTGTTTTATGCTCCCTTGAAGCAGAATATTTTAATTTTATTTTGCAATTTTTTGAATTTTTAGCTATAAATGCATTTTTTTATTTTTTAACATCATTTTTCAACATTTATAAGTCATTTTTTAATATTTTAGGTCATTTGTAATTTTTATACAATGTGGGGGCATTTTTCTCAAATTTTAGATTTTAAAGAAGATTTGTATAATGTTTATATAAAAATAATTTTAATATTATTGTATAAAATATTTTTAATATAATTTTTTTTTTTTTTTATATTTTACTTTTTAATTTATTTTTAATAATTTTATATAATGCTTAAAATATAAATGTACAAAATTGTTTATTAATATTATTATTCATATTTTAAATTACTATTACACCCATTATCACACACATATCTCTAATAAAAATTAATATTTATAAATAATTTTTTTTTCACTTATTTTATTAGATATTTTATTTAATATTTATTTATTTACTTTTTTTTTTATGCCGATGCCATATGCTAATATAATATAATGAAGATGTAACATTTTGTTTAGTGGGACACAACATAATGAAATTAAAACTAAATTATTAATTAATAATAATTTTTAATGTTGAGTTATATCAAAAAGTAAATAGAAAAAAATAAAACAAAATTGTTTATCAAATCTTAGTACATCTTACATGTGGCTTTAGCCAAAATCTTGTTGTAATGACTTTCTGTGCGCATTTCGAGAGTAGATGGTTGAACAATAGATAAAACTTGACCATTGCCTCCAATACAAAATTTCCATGTTGGCTCATTTGAATTAAATGATTCTAAAGAGATGTATGGAAAATACTTAAGTGCACCAATATAATTTAAAACACTTCCCGATCGTTTCTTAGAGGTTTTTTTCTGTAAACCAAAATTAAAAATATGAGCAACAAAAATTTCGAAACAATTGTTCTTGTTAGATACTTGCCAAATCTACAGGTTCAAACAATTGAATGTAATCCGAAACAATGTACAAAATTTCTTCGCTCATTGCAGTTAATTAATAAATACTTAATGCTATAATTAATACAAATACATTTTTTTAAATCACAGCAGATGGAAATAAATATATATTTTCATTTATTATGCACATATTTTTAAAAAAAAATAAATGCCAGCGTGTTATCATTATTTGATACAGCCTAAAAGTTGTTCAGCCGCTTACAGTCGAAAAATGATAAAAACCCGAGGAGTGAAATCGAAGAAGTGTGATATTTAGATATTACGTCCACGGATCCACAGATCATATACATTTTTAAAATGTTTAAATTATACGAAATTATAAAATTAATATATATATATATATAAATTATCGAATTATACATTATATATTTTTATGAAGTCTACGTAGGAATGTACCTTTATCCCTAAATAGTCTTATCTACATCGTAGAGTGTAGCCGTAGACCCGGATCCTTAACGAAAATAGCTGGAATAAAATTCGAGTTCTAGTCATCCGATTTATTTATTTGAACTCCTTAACTTCTCTTCTATACTGAGTAGATAACAGATTTTCGATTTTCGTTAAAGTCAGTGCTCGACTTGGCAAAATTAAAGAAAGGGGACTTTATTTACTTTAAAAAAAAGAACGTCCCCAAAACTGGTTGAGCGTAATAGTAGTAGGGGGACGCTAAAATTTCTAAAAATTAGTTGGGGTACTCCGTCCCCCTGCATCCCCCCTCAAGTCGAGCACTGGTTAAAGTCGTTCGATAAAACGCATCCAAATTTTTTATATTTTGAAAAATCAACTTACATTTAAGTTGTAATTCCTACGAAGAATTTAAAAAATTATTTTGGAAAGTATCGTTTTTTTTTTTTTCCAAATCATATAACCAAAACCAAGTTAATTCTATTTCAGATTTAGCTACTTGCCTCCAGTAATCTTAAAGTTAGTTATTTATTTATTGCAAATTGTGATTAGACCTTATCCTACGTGGTGATAACTGATAGTTTTGAATACGTGTTATCAAACATTTTTTTATATAATCATTCATGTAACTAGTCCACAACAATTTCGTGTGAACTTTTTCAGTATACCTACAATAACTAAGTTTATTATTTTATTGGTTTCACGATTTAGGAAAAATGGTGAGTTGAAATAATTATTACCTTTATTGACATGTTTACACACTTATTTCGAATTATTATCAAAAGTGTATTTGTTCTATGTACTATTAGGAAAGTTCCATACCAATTGAAATCCATGCTCAGAAGCTAAGTGAATGGCTTATGAGTAGAAAACACTGTAAAAAAGATTGGCACACACATATACAACCTATAAGAGAGAAAATCAATGCAGCCATACAAGACATGCCCGAAAACAAGGAAATTGTTCAATTATTGTCTGGAACGTGTAAGTTTAAGCAGGTATTTATTATTTTCATAATTTATTTGGTATTTATTTCACACTTGATTGTATTACTCTAGATATCAACTATTTCTATTGTAAACGTATAATAGAAATATTAAAAGAAACTGAAGCAGATACAAAGAATTTGTTTGGTTCGTATGGTTCACAGAGGATGAAGGATTGGTTAGAAATTGAAAAACTTTATTTAAAAGATAATGTATACTTGGCTGAAGCTTGTGACCTTCTTGTACAGAACATTAAGTATCATATACCTGTGATAAAAAAGCAAATAACTAAAGCACAGTCTGGACAAACTGTACGATAAAAAATATGTTATGGTTTTCATTTTTAGCCATGTAATTAATATGTATTGTATAGGACTGCGATAAGAAAATTGAGGATTACACTAAATCTATTCAAACATGTAAAAAAGATTTGGAAACATTGCGGAAACAGTTTTCTATAGCTGAAGATAATTATAGTTTTAAACGCACGCTTATAGAACGTTTAAGTGAACTTCAAAAGGTATATGAAGATGTCATGTGCCATGTGAAGAATTTAAAAAAATCTTATATTTATTTTTCTTCATTTGTTTCCAAAGTTCAGGGTACTGACATCAACTTAATTGTACTTCAATACCTTTTGAGTAATTTGTTTTTATTCAGATAAATTTTTCAATGATATTTTTTAATAGCAATTTTTCTTTCAGATAATGGCAATACTACTTACTATGAATATTTATATGGGGAAAAACCAAGTAAAATTGAAGAAGCTGTAATTACCGTAGAAGAAAATATTAAGGTACATAATTTTGCATAATTTTATCTATATATTTGTCAAAAGTATAACAAGTTGAAAACTGTATTAAAAACACTTAATTTGTAGGACACATCTGCTGATGAAGAAATTGATTGGGGTAACTTGGATGATCCATCAGAAGTGTGTAATTGCTAAGTTTTAGTTAATATAAGTTTTTCTAATTGATAATATATTTATTAGGATATTGACTACGGTATCTCTTTAGAAGAAAGTGGAATAGTTGTTGAAAGTCCACAAGTTGATGGGAGTGTTGCCAAAGGGAATGAGGCATTGTCTATACTTGATAATTATCAAACACGAAATGATTTTATAAATGACATTTTAGAAGTACATTTCTATATTTTACCTTGAATTATAAACAATTTTCATTGCTCAGTAGGATAGTATAAAATAAGTTTCTGATTTCAGCTAGAATCATTTTTAAATATGCGTTTGCTAGAACTATCGAATGATACCAACTCCTTGCTATCGGTCCAATCTGGAGGTGAAATCAATGAATCTAAACCGGAGCTTGTTTCTATGTTAGATATTATAAAACTAATTAAGCAAAAACTTAATGATCCAGTAGTTAAACATTTGCAACAGATTAAACATTCACCAAGGTAAATATATATATGTATATCTGTATTCTTCATTTTTGTATAATATTTATAACTTGGTGTTTTAAATATTTTAATAATCATTAGATATCTAAATAAATTAGAGGCAATATTTCTTCAAAAAGTCAATAACATTGAAAAAATGATAAACTCTCAAATAGCTGTTGCTAATAAAAAAAAAGAATTTGCTGAAGAATATAATCAGTTAGTGCCCAAGCTAAAATTGATACAACAGAAAAACAAACAATTAATTACTGAAGTAAGTAATTTTAAATTGTTTTATTTATTTAAATTTTACTATGTAACAAACTTTTTCATTATTGAGGATCTTTAATTACAAAACACATATGAATGTACAATATTGTACTTTCTTGTTTACTGCATCAATCAAAATCAAAAGATTAAAAGAAAAAATAAATGAAACTATTAATCAAAATAAAAATTAATTTATAATATTATTTTATATAAGTTAAAATGTTGTATGAGTTAACACTAGTACAGATCTAAATGTATATACATAATTTCAGATTGAATTTGACATCTCCAAAAGGTACAAAAACCGGCCAGTGTACATAATTGGAACATCAATATTTGGATCTTAACACTTAGAATGCTGTTGCCGTAATACTCTTTGTTTGTTTGTCTTTCTTTTTTTATTTGGATCTTAACAAACTAAGCCATTATAATTTCAATAATTTAAGAATTTCAAGAAGATAATATGTATATGGATGTTACAGACAGTTAGGTTTATTGATGTATAATTAAATGTCACACAATTATATATGGAAATTGTTTTATTATTATTTTATTGTTCATAATAAATGTATTTTACATTTTACATGCCAAAATTACATTTTTTTTATTTAGGTAAAATTCATACTCAGAAACACAAAATAAATATATAAATTCTATGTTCTAAATTGAACAAGGGAAACAAAATTAATGTTCACATATATTTAATACAATGTATAAAAACAAAATATTGTGAACTGCATATATCTCTTCGTCGAGACATGTACTCAGGAAAACAGACCATTATTCAATGATTCATGAACCTCTGAAAAATAAAAACAGATTTTAATTGAAAAAGTTAATATTTAAATATTAAGTATAGATGCTATACATTTTAATATATAAACATTAAAGCATCAAATAAAAAAAATATTTATAAATTATAATTAAAAGACAAATTTTATTTTATTCAAATATAGATAGAATTTCATAAAAACTTTAATATTCTAATATAACTAACATTTTTTTATAGTACCAGTAACCTAGGCTAATTTATTACGACAATTTAATGAAAAACTCAGGGTTCTTCAAAAATTTGACTAGTGGACAACTTATTTATATCTTCATTTATAATGAGTTTTTTAGGGAATTTCTTTATCTAAATTATAAACAGTTCAATTTTATTTAATCTTTGGTCCAAGAAAAAATAACAAAGAAACCCATGTTATATGTACCTGAGCAAATATCTTCAAAGGAAAAACTAGAACTTATTTTGAGGTAAGCTTTTTTTTAATAAAAATAAAAAGTAAATTTTTCTATAACTAAACTAATTATTATGTTTAAAGAAACCGTTAATATTAATAAATAAACTTAAAATTACTTTTGTGATTTAAACAAATCAATGAAATGAAAATGAACGGTTAACATTTTTTTATAATACATTTAAATAACTGTATTATAACTAGAAATATTTTAACTTTGTTTAAGCCTTTTTCTCCTGAAATTAGGTCATCTATTAATTAACGAGTACTTAACGAAAGTTTTAGTAAAAATTGTAAGAAAATAGTAAATAAATGCGTAAGAAATATTAATAGCAATATTTTTAAAACTTTCTTTCGCTATTTAGTGTTAAGTTTTCTTAACTAGGTAGATAAAATTATAGCAAAAAGGTTGAATATAAATTACCACTGATAAGCCTACTTGAAAATCCCCAAATGATACAAAAATAATAATGAAAAATATTGTTACGTATGTGATTTTTCCACAACACGAAGCATGTACTTACACAATGATATTGTTGATGGGTATGTGGATAAGTTTAACGAAGAACCCGATGAAACCCATAATGCAAAACCCGATGGCTGTGGCGATTGCGATTTTTTGGAACTCTGCAAAACGTCATCGAATTAATTAAACGCCAGTTGAATGGCGAGCGATGATAAAGCAAAAATTCAACGTTTACCTTTCCTGTCTGGTTTGGTGCACCTTTTCACCAACCTGACGGAGTCTTTGGAGAACTGGCGTCCGGGCTCCAACACTTTTGTTACTTGGTCCATATTAACTATGAGTGTGTACAACGGGTTTCAGAGGATTTAGGATCACGCACGGGGCTGCGTTGTAATAGCCACGGGGACGAGAAGCGGTCAGAGTTGTGAACTCGCGTACGTGTTGATTGACGGATGGGTCGACAAACGGAGTTTGCTGGCGAATGGACAGGCGGACGTACTACTTCGTTACGCTTACGCGAAAGTGGTGACACGTTTTGATTGTTGTTATCAACCACGGTGCACGTAAATAAACGGTCGGTTCAACGTCATCGGTTGCGTTGGAACGCCAAGGAGTCCACTGACGGCGGCCAAACGTTCGCAGTATCCTTGGAGGCGCGCGTGAGAACCGAAAGTATTTTTGTTCCCAGATCATAATAACGATTATAATTATCACCGTTCCGGAAACCTGTTCGGCCTGTGCCGACGACGGATAATAATAATAGTAATAGTAATAATAATAATGATTGATTGTCGATAAATAATTGACATCGGTAGTTGACTCCTCGGCTCGGCTTTTCCCCGTTCTGCTGTGTCCCGCTTTTTCACGGACTTTTTTCTCCGAAAATACGTTCCTCAGACGACGTGAACGACTACTGTCTCACCCGACTAGTATGCGTGGTACTCTGTAATGGCTTTTCTGTGTCCCGTGAGAATACGCCGAGGCAAGAAGAAAAAAAATACGTCAACAGCCCTTCGGTTTATTCTTCTTGATACCCATACTCATATTCTGATGTGTACTGCAATTGCTGCTTACAGGTGGTTCGACTAGTGACTTGGACAAGGAAGTATTACGCGGAACCAACGTAAATGGACCTGTACCTGGTATGGGACGCATCACAGGTAGTGCGTCTATCGAAACATTGGTGCGTGTTGGAATCGAAAAGGAAAATGGCCTGTCACCTGATAGCAAAATGGTCGTACTTCATGATTTCACTCCATGTGTCGATGATGAGTTGACAGTGAAACGAGGCCAGGTTAGAATCTATTGTTTTTTCATAATACGATTGTGTCTAGCATACCTTTGCATTATGTATTGAAATTTATTAATATTTATATTCAAAGGCATGCGTTTACATATTAATGTTGTTTCCAATGAGGCTTGATAGTAAACATGTATTTCACTTGGTTAAAATATTTTATTTATTTTATTCTAGATAGTCAATATTTTATACAGGGAGAATGATTGGGTGTATGTAATAGCTGAAGATAGCCGCCAAGAAGGTTTTATACCTCATTCGTATTGTACACCATTTAATTCACAACTTGGGGAAATAGCTTTGAATAATGTGAAAAAGAAATTGCCACGAGCACCAGCTGCAACACCAACAGAAACAGTTGTTGAAGTTGAAATTAATGAACAACAAAAACATGGTTTGTGTAATGAAGTTTTCATTTAAAATATTTTTATTAAGCTATGAGAGCTTTTGTTAATTCACTGATTTATTTTTATTATTAGGTAATTGTGGTGATTTATCAGATTGTGAAAGTTTTGGTAATAAAACTCATGATCAAAAAATGCAAAATAAGCAGAACATTAATAGCTCTAGAGCATCATTACTAAGTGCATCTTCACATCCTGAGATTCGACCATTTTTCAAAGTAAGTTTTGTTAACACAATATATAAAAAACATCATTTAAACTTGTGATTATAAATAATAAATGGAATCATTGTTAATAAGCTAAATTATTCAATACATTGCGTATATTTGTGTGAAGTGACAATGGAATTTAAAAATCTATAATTGATATTCCTGTTAAATATAGAATAATATACAATACGATTTTGATTCTAATTGTTGTATGAATTATATAACTTATTTTAAATCAAAAAAAAAATGTATAGGATCCTGCAGGACGATATATTGTATTATATACATTCATTGCAAGAGATGAAAATGATGTAAGTGTCGAGAGAGGAGAATTTGTAACTGTATTGAACAGAGAAGACCCTGATTGGTATTGGATTATACGTAGTGATGGACAAGAAGGTTTTGTTCCTAGTGGCTTTGTCTATCCAGCTGATATAATACAAGGTATATAATAAATTAACTATATTCTAGTTAATATTCATAAATAATAATGCAATTTATACAATTATAAATTTAATTATATATATATAATATCAGAGCTCATAACTTATAGCTCTAAAAAAAGTAGTTAAAAGCATGCAGTTAAAAATATGCACTAAAAATATAAAAATATATAAAAAAAATATATCATGTATAAAAAAAATGTAAACTCTTATTATTAAAATTCCGATCACATTGCTATATGATACAAATAAATATACAATTTAAACCTAAAGAAGAAGAAAAGAATTAATTAATTAACATGAATAAATTACATATATAAATATTAATACTACGATAATTACTTTTATCATTAAAAAAAAAAATGTTTTAAATGTTCCGGAACTGAAAAAGACTTAAAAAGCAAAATAGCACTTATAATTTGAAATATGCAAAAATATGCAATATAAAATTTTGCATTTAGTTTCTTAGTTATCTAAAACAAATTTATAGCTCACTTAGATATTTTTAGGACCTCTCAAAAAAAATATGTAAATGCTATATATTATGAGTCATGTATATTATATATTATAATGTATATAATTATATATATATATTATTTATTATATATTTTGTATATTAATATTTTTATTTTATTAGGGCATATAAATCAAATGAATAATAATCAATGCACTGGTACTACTAATACTGGATTACCTCCAGTAACACGTGCACGACCACGTAGGAATTCTTGTGTTGCCGATGATGATCCAGCTATTCACGGTACAGAAATGGTTATGTTATATGATTATAAGGTATGTATAAATTTTTCCCTTATTATTTTTTCATAATTACTTAATATTCATCGGTTTATTTTGTATAGCCTCAAGCACCAGATGATTTGTCAGTAAAACGAGGCGAATGGATTTATGCAGATCTAGATAATCAAATGGTTGAAGGCTGGTTATGGACTTATGCTCCGAAAACAAGAAAATATGGATTTATACCTAAAGCTTATGCTCATCCACCAGCTATGACGAGTTTGTAAAATAATGGTTTGGCAACTGATAATTTTAGCAAATTTCTATCAAAAAATATTATTTTAAGTATCAAATAAGAACTCTAAAGTCAAATAACTAACTAAGTCAATAAGAAATTCTAACACATCATTATTTTGTTAACAAAACTTAACTTCCTTTATCTACTATTTTTCTTATAACTTTTGGTGATCTTTCAAAACCAATAATTGTGATATTTTAGAGGATAATAGGATTGGTAAAGATTAATTATTTAGGTTTATATTGATCACTTTCTATTCATATAAATCAAATTATTTAACCGGTCAAATAAAATAAAATTTTAAATTAAAATTGTATTTTCTATAATACAGTATAAATTTAATTATTAATATTCCTTTGAAAAGAATGAAAATATATTTATATAGTATTAAAATTTATCATACACGTTTTCAAGAATTCAATTTTAATGAATTTCCGGATTTCTTGAGTGTACTGTTACTAAAAGTTTTAGAAATTGGACCATGTGAATTTTTGACTATATCGTCAAACATTTTTTTATATAAGTACTCTAAAATGATGGTCTGAATTATTCCTGGCAGAAGGTCATATAAGGGCTATCATATAAATACTATAAATTTACTATTTATATTGTATACTTCTTATTAGAGTTATGTAAATCAACATTTAAACACTAAATAATTGTAATATAAAAATCCTACTGAAATCCGTAATGGAAAATTTTAGATAACTGATACTTAACCTAACTGCTTCTGTCCTTTGTGTCATCTCTGATTTTATAAAACCTTTTTTAATTTCTTAATATCTTGTAAATAAAGATTAAAAACAATTTATACTTTATTTATATTTTTTTTCATAAAATGTTTACATTTTTTAAAAAATCTAAAAATAAAAATTTTATATTATATATAATATTTTATATATAACTTATATATTTTATAAGAGTCATAATTAATGTAAAATTTAATTATTCAGTAAAAATTATGGACAACAAGTCACACAAGACGAATGTTTGGTTATATTTAAATGAACAGTTTTTTTTTTTCATAAGTCAAATTATCAAAGCCTATTATTTAAAAAATAAAAAAAATGTTATATAATTTCATTCATATCATTCTTTTAATACTCTTACTTTTTTTGTTTTTGTTAACATTTTAGCTGTTTATTTTTTTAAACTTGTATGTGTCAGTGAAAATTATATTTTTACATGAGTGATTCAGATATCTGTTATAATATGCCATAGTTAGTATTATTAATTTTAAGTTTATTGTATATTAAATAATAAGTGGTTTAGTAATTATATTTTAATTTATTGCTTTGAACTGAATGAAGTTTTGAAAAAGTATAAATACTCTAGTTAAAAGTGTTTGAGTCAACTTTTTAGTACAATGGAAGTATAATTAAACAATCTGTGATTTTAAATATCCACAACTTAGTGGAAATTATTACTTATTAGAAAAACGGTAAATTTTAGTTTTAAAAAATGGTATTAAATATGTTCAAATCCGTCCATTTTGTCAACTGTGCCATACTACCATTGCACTTTAATAAGACTGTCTTGCTCTAAATTTTTTTATATCATTTTATTTCATATTATACATTTTATATTTTAGTATTTTATACTTTTTAATTTATTTGTTAATGAATAGTATTTATTTTATTATATTATTAAAAAAAAATTGAACAATATTAAATGTATACATCAAACTCTAAATTATGTTTAAAAACATGTATATATTTTTTAATTGTCACATAATATTAAAAACATCGCAATTAGTTTACAGAGTTAAATATTATATTGTAACTGTTTATATGGTTTGGTGATTTTAATAATTGACCCTTACAATTAGTTGAAAAATTACCACACTACTTATTTATATATTTTCATCCAGATGTACAAGTAGTGTTTTATACCTTTATAATATTTTTTTATGAAATAATTTATTATAAATATATCTAAATATGTGTTTTTTATTGAAAATGTTTCTTTTAATAAATCTCTTTAAGTATTTGATGGGTGATCAAAAATGTCTGTCTTCGGAAACAAATGTAGATAATTGTCAAGATTGGACAAAAATGTCTGTACTTGTAGCAAACCTAGTTGGACGGTCTGCCACTGAAGATAAAGTCGAAACAAAATCCAACATGTTAACGCTTTTGTTACGCGTGGCATCTGGTGTTATTGGACGTGAATCTAATGTTTTTAAAACACTTGTAGTAAACGGAATGGTTCTTTTGACACGAACGGTAAGATTTGTTTGTTGGTCATAGTCAAATTATCAAATTCAAATGATGAAGGTTAAAATTTCAGATTTTGACTGTTTTCAAGTTCAAAACTGCCAATCAGAGTACCGATAAAGGTCAAAAGACTAAGTTGTTTCCTAGCGGCCATCCAATCGACTGGATCATGAGCAATACCTATGTATGATCATTCTATAATTAATTACTATACACATTGGTGAACTTAGTTATTTGACGTGCAAAATCCACAGACAGGACTATGGTTTCCCAATTTATATTTAATTAATTTAAACAAATCTAAAAACTATGGGCCCCTAGATAAAATATGAATTTAATGTTTATTAAAACTTTTTTTATTTTAAGTTGGCCATAATTTTGTTTCTCCGAAATTACACTTACTCAGGGCAGAATTAAAACATTTTGCGCTCCGGGACATAGGAATTTTTAAACTTTCCTAAAATTCAGAATTTTTTTTTATAAACGTGAAATTTTTTTACTATTATTTGGAATTTATTAATTTTATTCTCTAATGAAAGTTATGTGAGTTAGTACAGAGTCCCCTTCCCCTTCTACAAACTTCAATTTTGTTCAAATTATTCTAGGATAATATACATTTTTTAAACATGATTAAAATTGAAGTTATATATTTATAATAAAATTTTAAATTATTATATTAAGCACTGAGTAATTTTCGTAAGTAAATTTATTTATTTTTGTCAATTATAATATTTTTATAAAAATACTTTCCTTGACTTCTGCTTAATGTATTAATCAATATATTCATCTCGTGAAATATGCGCACAGGGGCAAATTTCCCCTTACTTCCCCCTTTAATCCGGCTCCATGCTTATTTCTAGGGAACGGATTTGAATGCAAATTGCATTTTTTTCTGAATGTCTGAAAACCTTGCTTTCCAAGCACAAATTTCATTTCATACATCAAGGAATTAAAAAATTTAACTTTTATTTTACATTTTTAAGACTTGCTCATTAGAGTATTTTTTGACATTTGTAGTGCATTTTTATGTTTTTAAGGCATTAAGTCTTTTATTTTTTTTATTTTTACGGCATTAAAGTCCATTCCCTACTTATTACGTATGTACAGAATTTGTGTTGTCTGTTGTCGGTGGAATCAGTGCAAATGTCCCATTTTTATATTGCATACATTTTTGGCCCTGCCTAGAGATAATAATATGTTGTATTATATCGGTCGGTTTGATGGTACATTTTACACGATGGTGCACTTGCAAGATATCGCATAAGTTAGTCTGTTTACGAGTTACCGTTTCATTTTTACTTTTCAGATAAAATCGATGGTGGACGATGCAACTGACGAAACGTTACTCGATGGACTTGACCGTTTGGCGTCGGGCATGCCGTGCGTTCAATTGCTCGTGTGCCGCGTGTCACCGGTTGTACGCGATATGCAGCGCCAGGTGAAGGAACGCTGGAGCGACGGTTTGAACCGGGAAGAAAGTCACTCGTGGAATGTGTCCGACTGGCAGCAAGTCAAAGCCAACGTAAAACACTGCGCGGAAAAACACTCGGAGTGCGCGAAAACGATCAAACTAAATCCGTTTACGTGATGATAAATCATTATAGTTAGTGCGGTATACATATATTATTGTTATGATTATTGTATTTATGTACATCGCATTACGAAATGACGAACGTTAATTATACTGCTTAAATCTTTATTCTACTGATGGAGGATTACGTCCAACGAATTTTTAAACTGTTGATATTCCTTGAAAATGCCAAAAGCATCGAAGTACGGCATTTCTTATCTAATAGACAATCGTTCAAACGGAAATTTGTTTAGGCACACGTATAATATATGTTATACTAACAAATAAAAAAATGTATAAATATAGCTATTACGGTTGTGATGCTAGTACTAAATCTACTACATTTATACCATTACTGCTTACGATTAAAAATTTTACCGGGAGCATGATTATTATTTAATCATGATCCTGCTTGACATCGTAAAATACACAAATAAATTTGGGATATTATATTGTTTTTTCAGCGAAATGTATATATTTATTGTCTAACTTATCATATATTGGACACACTCTCTGTACTTACGCACTACTGAGTGTTGAAAATATTACGCGTAAAATTCCTACAGGTTCCAACTGTTTTCAATTACAGTTACAATTTAGAGGGGACAGAAAAAGTGGTTAAATAGTTGTTTGTGTATCTACTTAAATCATAGACAAATAAACTGTGATATTGCACATATTTAAATACCGTCTTATCTCTGCATAATATGCTTATTTAATACATCAAGAACATTTTTTCTTTTATTGGTTGTATATCCGTCACCTGGAAACACCTTGAGGTAATATTTCAAGTAGCAAGATACATCAAGAACCAGTAATCACTGAATTTTAATAATAAACAATATAATTTGAATATTCGACCATTTTTATTATGACACAAACGACTTTTTATAATGTAACTAATAAGTATGTCAATAGGAAACATTCGTTGATGCCTATATTGGCTGTACATATAGCATTGGTTAATTCTACGCGTAGTAGTCATATACAATTTTGTTATACGTGAATTGAATCTCATATTAAATGCAATGTGAATTAATTAAAACCATTACGTTTGTTATTTTTATTCTTTGCGATAATACGGTACCTATTATTTACGTAGGTATATTGTCCGCAATAAACGAAAATAACATTTATTTTAACCCATTTTTATTTTTTAATACTGTACTAGAGATAGATTACTTTTAAGATTTTAATTAATATAATATTGTTTTCGATTATACTCAGTGGTATTAATTTGATGGACTGATTAGATTTATACGGGCACATGTAAACTCCACCTATTGCAACCTTTCCTACCTTTTTTTATGTAAATTCCACCGGTACATTTGTATACATAGACAATGCTTATGCTATACTATGGGTATGTAATGCGACGTTTTATAATTGTCGTTCATCTGTGATTGATGCGATTTTTGGAAAATATATCTGAACTATCTTGTGTCATAAGATTTTTTTATACGTGTTTGACATAGAACAAGGTAATAAATTATTATAGTGAGGTATTAAATTATTTCTCTCTCTCCCTCTCTATAGCTCTTATTTCTACACGTTTAATACGTCTTATGGCGCCTATTACACGTATACACATTTAGATGTATAGGCAATTTTTCGGGATTTCTGAATTCTGAATTTATACGTTTTAATCACACATAGTATTTTCTATAATTATTCAAATTTTGAGTAGTCAGTATAGGCAACTTAATATGCATGACCACTATTATAGTTTAAATTTTTCTTATGATAAGACGTTGGAGATCCACTAATAATCACTAAAAACAACTTTTAGTATTAGTTTTTAAAAACTAAATTATAGTTAAAAATATACATAGTAACTTAACTCCTATTATATATTGATTTATCCATTTTCGAGTTGTTATATTATCTTTGGCATAGTTAAAATTAATTTAAAATTACTATACAAAAAACTTAATCAATCCGACTGTTTTTTTTGGTATCAATGTATCGATATCTAAATAGAAAATATTAATGAACAAGATGTAAACAAAATAACCAATGACTTTGCTAATTCGAAATCTAGAAAAGTTAATACTCGGATTATTCAATAATAAATTAAAATAAATATATGAATTTATAGTTTAATAGTTATCACAAATCAAATCAATAGCTAATATATAATAATATATATAATATTAGTTTTAACGAGGTTTGTTTTTATAAAAATTGCATGACTAATTCGATAATTAATATTTTCTACATTTATTATTAAAAACTATTAATACTATAGAGATGCTTGTTTACAAGGCATTGAACCATAGATATATTCTTTACACGTATAAAAATAAACAGTTAATTATCGAAGCTATATAGGTATACTGATTGATACCTATTAAATAAGTGTTAAATTGTATTGTGGCAACCAAATAATTACTCTGCTACCTATATTGTAATGCTGACCGCAAACTGGTCATTTTCCGATTTGATAGTTAATATTATAATAAGAACGAAATAATTGTAAAATATGTGTAACTGCATTGAAATATATACGTTTTACATTTATGCTACTTTATTAAAATATTCATAATAACTAAACTTTTTTTTTCGACGTATCTAGATTAACCCATATATACATGCTCTATATTTTTAAATAAAAAAAAAGTGTTATAAGAATAATATTGTAAGAAAAGCCATTACGCGTGGTTTGTATTATACGAGTAATTACATACAAGAATGATCGCCTATTTTCTTTTAAAAAATATATACGCACCAATGCCCAATTTTCATTTTTAATATCAAATATCGAACGCAAGCAATTTTTTTTTTAATCAGTTTGGTTTACGAATATGTTAAAAAATACTATACATACATAACTGGAATATTTTTTATTTTTTATATTATTATCAAATACAATTATGCACAAATGTATACATAAGAACATCGAATCGTGGCACAAATAGTTTTTTTTATACATGATTAATTTTTGTAATCATTTGTTAGTTATACTATAAATATCACTATACCTATGTTGTATATTTGTATATACTATTATAGTATGTACTTATATTGTATATATATATATATATAATGCAAATATTTTGAAAATACTTTTTCAAATGCATTTGGGTACTCTTAGTGGAGACTGAATCTTTATAATAACTATTTAAAATAAACACAACTGGAGAACATAGGTATATGAACGTGTTATATTAATTGCAACGGAAAAAAATACAATGTTTATGTATTAAATAGGTCGAATACCGAATCTATGTACTATTCAGTAATATTTTACACATTTTAAAACGTATTATAATATTATACGCGGTGTTTAAAAATGAGAATTAAAATTAGTCATGACACGATATTCTTCGTTACAAACGTACACCAATATATTGTACTGTTATAATATTTATACGTCTGTATGTTACAAATATATTCTTCATTTTTTATTGTTTAGGTATAACTATATATTATACATATGTATACGTGTTATTTTCCATATGCCACTTAAAATGCGGTTAACGCATTGAAAATGTGACAAAATGTATGAACGATTGAACCTTTCGTCGAATTTGCCATTACACAGTTGGTTTACATTCATTATTCACAAAGCCGTTTTGCAAAAAAGTACCTTTATCTTATTACCTATCACGACGAACGGGAGGGGGGAGGAAATCAACATACATCTATGAATTGAATATAGTGAATATTAGGTATTTTTCTTTCTTTCTGTTACATCGTCATATGTTGTCGCAAAAGTAGAACGCCGCAATTATGAAAAATAAATAAAAAAAGTAGAATACTACATTATACGGTAATTCGGATGAGATTATAAAATCCCACGTTATACATTTAATATGTGCATTAAAAATGACATGTTCTCGTATACGAGTGTACTATCATGTATATACGGCACAAATGGGTTTGATTAGATTAAAAATTGCATTCCATTCGCGACATACCTACCTATAAGTTAAATAGGCTACAACTGTGTATCGTAATTTTTACTACAAACACATTTGCATGTATGCTTGTCTATGTAAAGTTGGTATATTGTATACGACTTGTACTTAATTTGTTTTGCGATTTAGTGTGCATTTTACTATATTAATATTCTGTATATAGCTGACAAATTTCGATTGGATACAAATTATTATAATACGAAATGGAAAAACTACATCTTTCAATTTTAAAACGATAATAACAGTAATCATATAAAATCCAAAAATGACTCAATCATCTGTAAATTTTAGTACTTCTTAGTAGGTAGATGAGTAATCATTGCACACTTAAAATATTTTAATATAAATGTAATTTTCACATTATGTTTCAAGTTTTACAGCTTCGTAATGAATTGATGTTACTTTATCAAAAGAAACGTAATAAACGATCGAGTCTAATAATTTTAATGAACAAAGAACGCTCGAATGTCATGTCTCGTGTATAGTTATTTTGAAGAATAACTTATTAAATATACGTATAATATACAGTTTCGTCCTACTCTGGTTACGTTGCATTGGTACTTGCAACTAATCAGTGACGTAGCTAGGAGGGGTGTTTTGGTTGTTAAAATGCCCCCCCCCCCCCACATTCGGCCGTATTCATATACTTCATATAGGAATAGAATAATTTGGTCGTGATAAAATGTACTTTGTTATGCCATATTACCATATTCACACACTTACACGGTTTAAGATAAACTTCATCTTAAATAGTGCACACTTCTTATCATATTTCATATCATGATTCACACTTATAGCAGTTTCCATCTGCTTTTAAATTAATTTACACTTCACTCGGACAAATAATATTTAGGTACGTTGCACCATCATATGGAATTTGCGTTATCTACTGCATTGGTGATAATAATCATTCAATTATTTTATAATTACTTTGTATTTTACAGCACAGTTTAAGAAATATATTTATATTTATGTATATTTTTAACCGTGGTTTATACAGTATGTATATAGATACTATGGCTACGCGAGTCTATTGTGGGTTGCAGAGAATAATGCCCAATAATGTTCTTTATGACTACATGAGTGTGAAATCCTTCACAAGTTACATTTTATTACAAAAAAAAAAAAAAAAATCATAACCCATTTGCGCCCGAAATATTTTTAATAAAAATGTATTAAACCTGTACAACGTTGCTAAACTGTACTCTGGAATACAAGCAATACTAATAATTATTAATTACCTTTTAAAGTTAATACTATGGTACATATTATTTATTAGTTTAAACGATTTTTAATTTTTACGTCACACTCTCTTGTATGCGTAGTGAAACTTTACACAAACTACAAATCCTTAACTATAGTATGATGCGTGAGTTGCGAGTGTATAAAAATGGATCTTAATATAATAAACAGGGTTTGAAACCGCTCCCGGAAAAATTGGTTACCGGTTCTAGAGAACCCAGAAATTTTTTCGGAACGAGTTGCCGGTCTTTGTGGTTTTTAGAAATAGCGG